AAATACAGTGTTTTATGTCTGATGTGCCTACGTTGCCAAGAAAGTGATGTAAATATGAGCCATTTGCATAGCCCCAAGGCAGATGATTTCTTCATTAAGGGCCCTTCTCCAAGGGAATTTGTAGGAAAGTTGAGATGAATGCAGTAATGGTAGGAGGCTGATGTGGCTGACTCCAAGGACATTGGATCCTGGAGCAGAGGCTCTCTCTCAGGAATTCCCAGGCTCTAATTTGTGGTGGCTCCCTGTAGCTGCTCTGGGGGCTCAGTGCTGCTTGGGGCAGGAATTACCTCGGCAGTGCTGCACACCCTGGGCAGTAACACTTGCCACTTTATTCAGGGCTAAAAGCACAGAATGGCATCAGTGGGATGCACATCTCATATTTCATCCTCTTGGGGCTTTTTCCTCCTGCCTGTGAGATGTGATGGTGGGAGATGGGGGATGAAGGGCAGGGGATGCTCTGTCACTGCCCTGGAGCTGCACTGCACACGCTGGCAGAGCCAGACCTTTCCTCAGCTTACCCTGAGCATACCTCCTTCCTCCTGAGCCTGCTTTCTTGACCTTACAGATTCTTACAAGAGAAAGGCATTAGTGCACGTGGCCTGGGATACTTCTGCATGGACCTGAGCATCCAGAATTAACAAATGTTTCTGTCATGACAAAGTTGCATTTTAATGCAATATTCACTGTACCTACTTTAAGAAGAGAAAGTGGAAGAGAAACCAAAAGCAACTGCTAAAACCCAGAAAGATTAATAGTAAACAAGGGCTATACAAATTTTTGGGTGTTGGAAGAATTAGAGTGGAATAGAAAACTCTCCAAAGTACTTGGTGCAGAGAAAAACAGATGAAAAGGTTTATTTTGTCCATCAGGGAAATGTTTCTCTCTTGCCTCAGCCCGAGAAAGCTGTAACTGTGTTATTTGTGGGACAGAGCAGTAATTGATGTAAGAGGAGATTTCCACCACATTCAACTTTTCATTTTTCTTTGGTAAACCAGCCTTGAAACTTCTGCTTGTGGAAAAACTTGTCAAATCTCATCATCTAAAGTATGAAATTACGTGTGATTTAAAAGTGGGGGTTGCCTCCTGTGTTGGACAAATGTCATGGTGTATTTTGTTGGCCAAGACCTGTGCTCTGACATGATGCTGTTCCTCTGGTGGGTTTTTTTAGCTAGTCTTGGAAGTGCAGTTGAGGGAGGCAGAAGCAGGATCCTGGTTTTTGAGTGTTACAAAGCAAGAATTGAGCTCTAGCAGCTGGAGAGTTGGGTTTTTTCTCTGTAGCTTTGTGTCTCAGTCACCTGGAGCAGTGCAAGTCTGGATGGAGTGTGGAGGCTTCCCAGGAGCGGTGGAGGGTCTTGATCCCTGCTCCCTCTTCCCAGGAGAGTGTGTGTAGTCATGGGAAGGCAAGGCACCAGTTTTGCCTGGATGTGAGCTGTAGTGGGGGAAGAGCCAAGGAAGCTCTGCACAAGGGACTTGCCTGCAGTGGGGCACTCTCTGCTTCACGGCCGTGCCAGCCAAAGGGTGTTCTGTGTTAATTCACTGCCACATTTATATACACTGTCTCATACTTTACTGATTTCATACAGTAAAAACCACAAAGATAATGAATGTTAACACATGGTTGGGGTTTTTTTAATGAACCCTATCACTGGTTGAGCCGTGGCCCTTGAGAAGCTTTGGTTTATGTGGCAGCATTCACACAACACTTTTAAGCTCCCTGAGTAAGTCATGGGGCTGTGGAAGCAACCCTGAGTATTTCATTTTCATTTCATGTGTTCTGAGTAGTTTGCTTTTTTATTGAAAACAAAGTTAGATTCCTCTCTGAGTGAATGGCCAGTGAAAGTGATAGTAAATATGTTTTATAGAAGTTTCATATAACTTGTAACTACAAGTTGGAAGGATGCTTCTGACAAGTTTATAAATGTGTAGTAGGACAAAATTATCTTGGTGTTTTAAAGAGAATATATTTTGTAACATTTTGTATTGAGGACTGAGATTTCTATTAGGAAATTAGGTTAGGAAAAGGGAAGTTTCTGTAGGAGGACAGTTATTTTCTGATGTAGTGATTAATGTGGATTTCATTTTTTGTCATGGCTTTGCTGTGAGACAGGAGTGGCAGATAGCAGGAGGGTATTATTTGTACCATGGCCAATCTTTGAGAAAGGGGATATATATTTTTATTGCAAGAAAAATAGCAACAGATTTAGCTGTAATCTTGTTTGAAATACCAAAGTGTTAGAAATAAGTTGTGTGTATGGGAGTATTGTCCTTTTCCTGTCGCCCTCCATCATACAGGGAAGCAACTGAGGTTTTCTCCCAGCCTCTCTGATGAATTTATCAGTAGGCTTGGGCTGCCACAGCCCAGGGCACTGCTGCTGCTGCTGCTGCACATCCTGAACTGATGGCACATCTTCACTTGCATTTGAAATGCTTTGGGTTAAGTGAGGCCTAAGTGTACACAGTTAATGCTTTTTGCTTATAAGAGTGTGTCACAGGTAAATGCATTTTATAGTTCCTTAAGGGATAAAATTAAATCTAAATGTGGAGTTGCTCTGGAGTTTATTAATTCTGGGCTTGGGAATATGTAAATAACACAGGATTATTAGAGTTCACTGGTCCAAGTGCCTCTTCAGTACATGATTAATTTCTAATGCTGTTTGCAGGAAAGTCTTTGGTCTCTTTTGAGCTTTGCCAGCCAAGATGGGTGTGTTGGCCTTGAAGAAGCAATGCTGCCTGGTGTGGAGAAGAGTCAGTGCAAAAGTTTACCAGCAAAACACCAGTGGTTGCCCATCACAGCAACTGATGTGCCAGAGATTTTGGCTCCTTCAGCCTAATGTTGGTGGCACAATTCAGAGTTGTTCATGTTCTGAGAAAATGAATCTAATATTTGGGGCTTGTACTACAGTATTTCTAGAGAATATTGCAGAAACATATCTTTTAAAAGAAAAAAATGATGAGTGTCATAATATATTAAAATAGTGGCATGAAAAATAGAAACTTTATTACATTTGAAAATCCAGAAGTAGAAATTTTGCTGGTTAACATTTATCATTAATATGTAATATTAATCCTTCTTGAAAGAGCGAAGATTGGTTTTAGAAGCTTTTTTTTTTAAATTGCATTCAGTGTCATCTTTGAGGCTTGTGTTTACAGAGAAGATGAACTTCATTACATGCTAATACTTTAAAATGAGGCTGTGTCTGGACAGTAATTTTTTTTTTTTTGTATGTATGTCATTGCTGAAATCAGTTTGATTCTGCTTTGATTCTGAATATTCCGTTTCACGCATGATCTTTCTTTCTGAAGCTGTTGAATGTCAAAGATAAAATCTGAAGTGTTTAATCATTGGGTATCCATTGAGAATTTGTTTGATGTGAATTGGCCTGCTCTGGTAGCTGACAAAAATTAGTGTGGCATCTGCTGTCTTTAATGAACATGTGCTAAGTGGCTTTCCAACCAAGTGTGAGGTTTTTTATTAACATAGTTTTGCTGAGTATTAATTTGGTTTTAAATTTACATTTTCTGCTGTATTCCGAAGTATGTGGCAAACAAACATGAGGGGTATTGTCATTTCTTAGAATTATTGCTCATGTTATTGGCAAAAATTCTTTCTTGGTGACTTCTTCCAAAATCCTTTTTCTTCATTTTGCAAATTCTTTTGTGGGAGGCAAAGACAAACCAATGGATGAAGCAAAAAAAGTGCTCAAAGGAAGTGTATCTGCAAAACATTGAAATTGGCAAAGGATTTAGCAGAAATTGGTTTTTATTTGGCTTCTAAATCTAATCTTCTAAACTTACATTTGTGCAAAACATTCATTGTTGAATATTTGGCTCTGAGGAAATTATCTTCCTTAGTTCCTCATCCTGACATTGAAGTGCTTACTGCAGCCTTGATAGAATTTTGTGGTACAGCAAGAAGAGAATTCCTTCTAAAAAATGTCAGTGGGTGGATGGGGGTGGTTTTCCTGAAAACCAAAGCAAAACACTCTGAAGGCCTTCCTTGCTTATCCTGGAAAATGCAAAAAACCTGACAAAACAACAAAAAAACCCAAACCATCCAAGCAGCCTCTTCTCTTGTGTCAGCTGTGTTTGAGGAGGCATTGCTGCACGCAGGGTGAGAGTGGTGGGAGAGCTGGGTGCCCGTGGTGTGTCAGAGGTGTCCCGTGGTACCCATGTGGTGCTGGCTGACCCTGAGCTCTGCAGGGATGCATTTTAGTTTTGTCCACTGGGCAGACTTTATTTTCCAGTACGGGAGTGTCAGGGTTTTATCCTAAATGGTGAATCCAACTCCTGTTGCATTCAGAGTGCACACTTGTTAACTCTTCCAATACATCCTCTGAATTTAGTGTGACCTATCATTATCCCAGTTCCATGTTTGTGCTTGCAGCACCAGGGGATTTTCCTTCATGTCTTAGTTTTATTGTGCTATAAAGAATGATAAAATATATTTTTATATAAAATATAGTGTACTGATGATGATAAATGTGAAAAAAGCAGGCATTTTTGGAGATTGGTAGAAATCCTGAATCTGTTCTGTATTGGATTGATTTAGATCTCAACAGGTAATGAATTGAAGTAATAATCTATATTGAAATGTCTTTCAGAATAACACAACATTAATACTCTGTAATTGTGCTTGAGGTTGACAAATGAATTCCATCTTCTAGTTTTGGAATAGCGTATCATGAGTGAAAAATGAAATAAAATGTTTGAGCCAGTGGCCTGCAGGGGTTTCATGCTTTTTGGGGTGTCTTGGTCATTTTGATGTAAGAGTCCTTGTAATTTTTCTCAAGTGTTCTTTGTTGAACGGGACAAATCCAGAAAATCTTACATTACTTTGCTTTTGTTTTTGCTCCCTAGACAGTGCCCTGTTGTAAACTAAAATCACACATTCCTGAGTGTAAGCCGATCATGTTCCCAATGGAAATTTCAGGAATACTTGTGGCTACTTTCAAAATGTGGAAATCTATTTATTTTTTTTTTCCACTTGTTTTTCTTCCCAGCTTTTGGCACTGACCGCGTTCATCTGCATAGAGACCATCATGGAATGCTCCCCTTGCGAGGGCCTTTATTTCTTTGAGTTTGTGAGCTGCAGTGCACTGGTGGTTACTGGAGCTCTCCTGCTTTTGTTCAGTCTGAACCTTCACACAAGAATACCCCAGATCAACTGGAATCTTACTGTAAGTTCATTCGAATTCTCACTCTGTTAAAAATAGCTGCAAATCTGGTTTAAGTTTGGTCTTTGGGCTTTGCTTTCTCCTGTTGTTTAATATCATCTATGAGTGTTCTTTATGCTGAGTAAAGTATACACTTATTTACATTAATTTTGAATGCTAACAGCAGAATGAGCTGTGAAATGTAGCAAGATTAAACTACACTAAATAGAACTAAAATTGTGTTCTCGTAGATTATCTCTGGGAGGACAAACTTCCTGCTAATGGCAGCAATTATGCTTTGTGGATGAAGTGGATAAAAATGTAGCCCATGGTTATTTAACTTTGACAGATGCTATATTTACAGCAGCCCATTGTTCTCTCTTAATCTGTTTCTTTTTATATTAGGACAAATTTGCTACATTTATTTTCTTACATTGGGCAGTAGTGTAGAAAATTAGGTGCTTTCTGTGAAAATTTGGTGTTTTGTATTGCCTGCAGACCTAACTATTAAACACTGACTGGCAGTGTTTAATGTGTTCTCAGATACAAGGAGTTTTAAGAAGAGAACTGCTGGCAGTGCACATTCTTTTTGTACAAGTCTCTATTTTCATGCTGTATTCCGAGTTAAACTTTCAGACTGGGTTGCATAAACACAGGTCACAGAATCAACATGTTAAGTCACTCCAGCAAAAGATCTGTCAGCTTCAAGGACAATATTTACACCAGCTTCTTTGTACAGTACAGATACTATTGTGCTAGTGTTCTGTTTTATGTTACAACAGTAATTTTGCAAGTACTGTTGGAGTCCCAGAGGTTTTTAGGCTTCTTAGTGTGATTTTTAAAAAAAAAAAATAATTTAAAGCATAATTTATTAATGTTGCAGTTTGCTTAGCTTCTCAGCCTAAATTACTTGTTTAAATTGAGACTGGAACATGGAATTAGATGATCCTTTCTACCCTGTATAATTAATTGATGAACTCTTTCTAGGAGTACTTGGCAGATAGATTTGGTGTTCTGTGAGCTGTGGCTGAATTGTCCAGAAATGATCACTTTGTGGTGGCACCAATTGTGTCTGCAATAGGACCTGTTAGGAGATATTTTGGGGAAGGGGGATTAAAAATCCAATCAGTTGTGTTTTGGGTTTTTTTGTTTTGTTTTGTTTTATAAAGATATTTCAGATTTTGAGCAATGGTCATGTTCTGCACCCACTGCCTAAGCAGCATTTGAGCAGCTTGAGCAGGTTGGAGATCAAACCAAGTGGCACATGGAATACACTGCAATGTGTATTTGCTCTAGTTCAGCTTGCCACGTCCAGAGGCAGGAGGAATTTGCCATGATCTCCCGAGTCTCATTCTGTTAGTTGTGTACTGAAGATGAAATGCTTCTCCCATCCTTAAACCAGAGTTCTCCAGAAGTGAGAAGGGAACTGGCAGCTTGTGTCTTCCATGAACTGATGAGACCATCCTTCCTGGTGTTTCTTACAGATTTCAGCAGTCTGATTATATTTGTTTTTTATTTCTGATTATTTGATTTTAACAAACAGTTGGGACTGTTCCTCCAACAGGAGTGAGGGAGTACCTTCTTTATTCAGTGCTTGGGACCATTCTGTGATTCTACAGCTGCTTCTCCTTCTGCATGTGCAGAGTGTGAGATCAAAGGCTGCTAATAAAACACCTGTGGGACATTACTTCGGCCAAGTTAGTAGGAAATCTAAGAATGTAGGGTTCTGGATGATTTTTTTTTTCTTTTGCTTATTTTGGCATTTTTATTCTTTACAATTTAAATGTAGGTTCATACATTATTTTCCTCTTCCAATATTTATTACTTCCCTGTGTTTTGATGGTTATTTTTATACTTTTTCAGTCTGTATATGACACAGTTACTACAGGAGTTGCTTTCTGAACAACAATCTTTCACATCCCTGAGTGCTTTAGGAGGAAGTCACTCCTGTGTATGCATAAATTCATCAAGATACATGCTTTCAAAAACATATATAACTTTATAATGCATATTTCCCTTATGGGAAGTCTCAAGCATTGCTTTCAGAAGCTGTGTGAGAAGAAGAGGCTGTTGCAGTGCTTGAAGGAATTTAATCAACTTAAAATTAGGAAGAAACCTTTCTTGAAAAATAGTACTTCTTCCTAGGAACCATTGAAAACATTTGGTTTCAAATGATCCAGTGTATTAGAAAGTACCTGGCCATCAACTGCTATTGTCCAACACAGGATTGTTTCCTTTAAAAGTTTATTAAAATAAGAATTATGTCCAATGTGTTGTGGATATTGGCAGATGTCCCCTGTCCCTGACTGGAATGAAAATGTGGGTCAGTATAGACTAGGATCTAACAGATATGCAAAGTTGCTCAATTTTTTAAATATATATATTTTTATCCATTTGGGGAAAAGAGATTTGTTTTGATCCTAATTAGAGGATGGGTTGCCAATCATTTTCATATTTGCATGAGGTAAACATGCAGGAAACATGGGGCTGGAGAGGGCAGAATAGAGCCTTGTCTGGGTGTGTTGGAGAGAGGCTGGTTTGTTCCAGCAAGATGAAAGAACAGTCCCTTGTCTGTTGTGCAGCGCTATCAATATTATGCAAAAATGCAAAAGCTGGGGAACCTGTCAGTGGAAATTTCCATTTCCTTTATGAGCCTCACAGCTCAAAGGGAGACAGGAGTGGCCCAGGGGAATGGGGAGCACAGCAGCTCCTGCTCCACCTTGAGCTCAGGCACATTTGCTTTCAGACAGAGCCAATGAATTTTGCTATAGTTTTGTCTTTGCCTAAATTATCCTTTTTTCTAAAATTCATGATTTGCATTCTCATGTGATGTGCAGGGAGAGCTGAAGGTCTGGTATCCAAGGGTGAGCATGAGCTGGCCCTGCAGGAGCAGGGCTGGGCAGGAAAGGTGCTGGAGTCCTGGGGGTGAGCTGTGACTGGGACCCTGCACTGGGATCTCTCCTGCTCAGGGAGACACCTCACTGCTGCCAAGGAGCTGGGAACACTGGAATTTGGCAGTGTCCCTTGGATGGGAGTTTGTGTGATGATCTGAGTACCAATGTAAATCAGGGCTTGATCACCAGTAGAATGAGCTGTTTATCTCTGTGTAGGGGGGAAAAACATCTTCAAGACATATTGACCATTGATTTTTTTTTTTTCAATTATTTTCTTGAAGCACTCACTGGAGTTACGGTAGGTTATTTTTTGGAGTCCAGTTCTGACTGCAGTTTCTCAGCTTAGGGCAGCTCAGAAGTGAGGCACAGAAGTGAGCCTCACAGCACAAAATCAGAGTTCCACCAGGCTGGACTCAGTCCCAGGGAAGCACCAGGCAGCAAACAGGGACCCAGGTGTGTGTTAGAGCACACAGACCAGCTGGGGAGTTCTGTGCTGCCTGAACATTGATTTCATCAACTCTGCAGGGTTGGGTTTTTTTCATTGTTGCAGCAGTGAAAATTCGTGTGCAAAGCAACTGACACTGGAAGGAGTTGGCAGAAAATTTCATGTGATGCCCAAATGACAAACTGTCCTGTGCCAGCCTTGCCTCTGCAGAGTGTAATTACAAAGCTGTAATTCTGAGGCCTTCACAGGGTAATCTTGATATTTATTTCTATTTTTAATTTATTTTTTCCCCCTTCTGTTTTGAACAAACATCTTGCTTTCCTTAGCTATTGAATGAAAAATAAAGTCAGTTATCCTTGACTTTTATGTGTACAGCTCTCAAAATAGCAGTACCTATTAAGGGTAAAAATGAACATTTTATAAGTTTAAAAACAGTTATTAGAATTAATTTCCTCTGGGCTCTTCATGGACTGTTCTCATTTGGTGCATGGTATAGATGTTACTCTGTAATGAATGCAGTCTCTAGTTTTAAATACAAGAAACATCATGTATTTTGGTAATTATTGAAGGTGTGGTCTATTGCTTTGTGACAGTAACTTTCTGAATTTTTTGTTCATGGACTCTTTTATTGGGAAAGCAGTGCTTATGTCTATCTTGTGCTTACCTAGGTAACTAAATATATGAGGGGAAAAGAGATGGCAATTAATGCTCATATGGTTAATTTGGTTCTTTCTACCTAGCCCTTATTTTTGCTTGATGAACTGTGTTTTCATTTTTAATTGTAGTGCAAAATACTCAAACAGTGTTTAATAACAGAACAAAATTCTGGAAGTTTGACCAGAGGTGCTTGGTTTAGAGGATTGACTGGTATGTTTGTAACCTTCAACTTGATAGCTTCATATAGAAGAAAGGGAAGATGTTCCCAAACCTTGTAAATGGAGGAAAAATTGCGGTCATTGTACAAAAATATTTAAAATAAAAATTAAAAAAATATTAATAACCACACTCTTCTTCCTTTCCCCTGGAAAAAAAAACAGCAAACACAAACAAAACTAAAAGGAAATGTTGCTTTGAGCTGTCTTCTGTGGAAGTTAAATCAGGCACCAGCAGGCCACTGACTTCTGTCAGCTTTTGTGGCAAAGTCAGGCTGTTGAAATGTGCAGGCTTCTCTTCCTGAGAACATTAGTTTAGCCACTTTAATCTCCATCTGGATATAAAGTTTTGGATTTCAGAAAGCAAATGACAAGAGAAACCACCACTTTAAATGTCATCTCTCTGTTTACATGAGTTTCAGCTGCAGTATGGCACTGTCTGGCTTTTAAAGAGTACCTGGTCACTTGTGCAGGATCACGTACAGGATAAAAAGGCTGGGCAGGAATTTTGATTGAATGATTCTTAAAAGCTTGTGTGAAGTTGTGGGGAGCTGTGGATCAAGACATGTGGATGTTACTGAAGCCTCTGAGTGTCTGAGGCAGCTCCTGGCGATGTCCCAGCCTGAAAAGGTGAGCAGGAGTGTGGAAGATTTCAGGAGTGACTTGGTGGCAGCTGCCAGGTCTGTTACCAGAGCTCTCATTTGTAGCTCCAGTTCTGCCTTTCCATCCTCATTAATCCAGGAGCTATACCTGCCTGGACCCTTAAAAACCAGAGTGTGGGATGTCACAGAGTCACGGAATGGGGCTTCCCACCTTCACAGCTCAACCAGCAGAGCAAAATCCTTGCCCTTTTTTGCATAAAAATATTTATCTTGGCATAAGCCCATCTTCCATGGCTTACAACATCTCCTCTGCCTTGTCCTTCTCCTGAGTGGGACAGAGAGCAAATTTATGTCCTTGGATGCTCTTTGTTGGACTGACAGGACCACTGGGGACCAAGCAGAAAGACTTGCAAATAAACCAGCAAGTGACCAGAAGTCATTTGTTCATTTGAAATCATTTTGGAAAGCAGCAGCAGCAGCCTGGAGTGGGTTTGATTCAGCTCAAAGATTTGATTCTGTTATGGATGGCAGCTCTGTACAGTATTTTATGGCACAGCATACTGTCTCATGAGGTTGCTGTAATTTCAGCAGAAATTCTTCTACCTCTGTGATGTGGTTTTACTTTGTCTATAAATATAATAGCAAGAACTTCAGCTCCATCATGGCCAGATTTGAAGCAGCTCATCTTTTTTCAATTAGTTTATTCTTCTTATTGTCACGATTATTCATTTTCTCTTACGTGGAAAAAACTTGCAGTATTTTAGGGCGTGTCCTCTGCTTCTTGCTGTAGTTTCTTTTATTTATCCTCTTACTTCACCCAAAACTATTGGATTTTTTTGCTTTTATTATCTTTCTGCTCCAAGTAGTAGCTCCCACATTTTGGATGAACAACCTACACTGCTGTTTGTATCTGAGATGTTTCCATTACATGTGTGTATGGCAGTGTTATTGCTGTCATTGCTCCTTAAGCTCCAGTCTGCTCTGGGGGTATAAAATAATTTTTATTTTAGCTTTTTCAAAAACCAGCCTTATCATATGAATGTGAATCAGTTGTTAATTGCATTAGAAAGTTTTGACCTAAATGGGGAAAATGGAGTTGTAGAGATGAATAAATTGAAGCCTCAAGATAGAATCACTTCTTTAGATTTAAATTGTTGAATTTAAAAATGTAATTTGATATTCTTTGTAAAAAGTGAACTAGAATAACTAGTAAACCAGAATAAAATGCCAGTGATGATGACAAGTTCCTGATGTACTTATCTCAAAGTACATTAGAAAAGATTGGCAGTTTAATTTCAGCAGGATTTTATATTCTGCAGCTTGAATGAAACCTTCAGGTCCACTTGTAGCACAGAGCTGGATGATAGATGTGTCATGTTGTGGGCAGGCCTGGCCCTCTTGCTTACACTGTGCTCCTGTGGTGTCCCAAGGTGACAGGTTCTAAATGTCAGAGGTCAACAGGATTAATTAATGAGCACATCTGACCCCATAAATCACAGACCATCATGTGCCACCCATGTAGGCTCTTAAGAATGGCACCAAGGAAGTACAGAACATGTGTGTGTGTCTGAAAAAGCATAACCTGGATTATAAGAAGTGAAATGGTAGAATATTAAATACATTTTTGGCTGCTAGTTCTCATGGTTAGGTCCCCTGCATTAAAATTAGCTTCATTTTGAATATGACTTCTGCCTTAACTGGAACTTAACATCAGAAGCTGTTGATTTTGTTTTGCCAATTTTGTTGGCTTTCTGATATTAAGCTTTTAAAACAACCAATGTTTTTAATTGTTTGAACACTGGAGTCTTCATGTACCCAGCTCAATCTTTTAAATACTCAAAGCAGTTTAGGTTCTTTTGATTCATACTGTGAGAAATTTTCTCCTCCTTTCAATAACTTCTTCTCTCTACCCTGTCCAGTTTTTCAGCATTCTTTTAAAAATGTAGATACTGGAACAGGACACAGCATTGCAGTGTCCCTTGCAAAGGTAAGATTACCACCTGTCCATATGTCCAAAGGAGTACAAAAGTGATTTTTCTCCCTTTTATTGGTCATGGCAGCACCTCTTGAGATGCTTGCCTACAGTAATTATTAAGCTCTTCTGAATTATTCCTTCTAGGATTTTGTCTCTGTTCTGCAGGTTCTTCCTGTGGGTGCCAGATGTATTCTGGTAGTAAAATACACAACTAGACCTTGAGTTGAATTAATTTACATTTTTTTAATTATCCAAGGGCTGTCCCGTCCTCGATATTGTTTCTCCTTTCTTGGTGACACACATATATTTACACAGAGACTCGATGGAAGTGCTGAAGCTGGATAAATTGCAGATATAGTGAGACTTCCCCTCTAGTGGGGAAAAGGTTTGTGCAGATGAGAACCACAGCTCGTGTAGGCAGCTGCAGGAGCACAGTTAGAGCTGTAAACTCAGAGCTGCACAGGGGCACACTTGGAGAAACTGTGTGATGCCATTTATTTTCTACTACCACTATTTATTTAAAGTTTAAATTTTATCTCTGCAAAAGAAAAGTTATATAATTAGAACTGCAATAGCTAGTTAATAGAATTTGGATTTGTTTGATGTCCTAAGTGCCAGGTAGCATCTATCTCAGTGAGCTTGAGCAGGGATTTAAATATCTCTGTATGTAGGAAGGTGAAAAATTGGTAGGAATTTGTGAGACCCATGATTTGCTTTTGTTTCTTTATTATTTGATGAGAGTTTGGGCTGATTGGGGTTGTGACATCTGGACATGAGAGTGGGAGTGGCCATGAGCCATGGGAGCCTCTGCATTTCCTTGGGAAAGTCCCTGCTGGAGATGAGGATGAGCCTCATGCAGTCTGGACTCTCAGTTTTGATAACCATCTGCTGCTGAGTCAGTAGCCCCAAAATAGATTGTTTTCTGTGAATAACACAGTGCCAGACCTTCCATTTCTGCAGTTACTTTCTGCAGAATTCTGTAATCATGAGATGTTTTGGGGCTGTCTGGATGGCATTGTCACTTCAAAGTCCTTGTGCTGTGTAATTGGAACATAGCTGTGGGATTCATACCCAGATTGTGAGATTCATACCCAGCAGAATAAGTTTAGAGTTAAGTCTTCTAAGCCTGACTTCTCATTGCACTTCACAAGATGCTCTTTGAGGAAAAAATAAAATAATTATTAAAAAAATTGAAAAAATGAAGGAGCTGTAACAGGAAGTGACTCTGCCTTGCATGTGGGAGAAGAGAGTCAAGTAGAACAAATTGTCCTTGAATTCCAATTATTGTGATTATTTTTGTATGATGGGAGTTGCCATGTTCACTGTGGTTTTGTTCTGTGTGGGCTTTTTGGGTTTTTTTCTTTACCTCAAGCCTGTAAGTTGCACAGCAATCTTGAATGCAGGTTTTCTTTCCATCCCTTCTGTCTATGGTAGTATTCACTTCTCACTGCTTTGATGTTTGTGCTGAATTGTCCTTTCTTGATCCCTCCACCCTGACCTCACTTGTTTATTCATGGTGGTTGTGTGGTTTGGGAATAGTGTTCCCCATTTCAGTGGGAGCATGCAGACAGTGCAGTCCACACAGCTCAGATGTGAAAGGTGTCCTGATAACACACTGAACACCTTGTCCTGAATGAATCTAGACTTTGTTTCTACTAATATTTGCACCCTTGAATATTTTTCCCTCAAGTCTGATCAGTTAAGTCTTGTACTGCTGTAGTCATTTTTGTGCAAATACCTGTCATTCAGAATTTTTCCTTTGGTTCCAATGACACGTTAATGACCCTGTTTGAGGTGAGGCACGGCAGCATCACCCTCTGAACACCAGTGACACGTGCAGCACACGTGACAGGAATTGTCAAGTTGTTTTTCTTGGAGCAAAGCAGTTTTCCCTGAGCATGTTGCTGTGTGCATGTTCTAAAATGTCTGCTTGAAACATCAGTTTTATGCAATAAATAGGTAGAAATCTCTTTTCTTACACTGCTGGCAGCTGTTACTCACAGAAGTGGCACAGAACATGCAGCTTTGTTCAATGCACACCTCAAGGAAGGGGTAGGAGAGCTCCTGGCTGGTGTGGGCAGGGCAGGAGCTGTGCTGGGATGTGAGGAGCAGGGGCTGTGCAGTTCAGCCTGCCAGGCTGCTTCAGCACCAGCTGGGATGGAGCAGGATGGAGCCCATCCATCCCTGTGCTGGCAGCTCTGCCAGAGCCAGCCCCAGCTGAGGTGCTGCTGCAGGGCTGCAGGGTGCTCTGGGTGCTGCTGCAGGGTGCTCTGGGTGCTGCAGGATTGCAGCTCCTGCTGCTCCTGGGGGACAGCCTCTGCCTTCTGGGGACACCTGGGCAACTGCAGATGAGCTGGCAAGGGGTTGCTGCACTTGTTCCAATCTTCTTGTCATCACTTCTGATAAAGCAAACAAGCATCATTTAGTAATGCTACTGAATTTATTTTTCTAGGATCTGGTCAACACTGGAGTCAGCACTTTCTTCTTTTTCATTGCCTCTGTAGTACTGGCTGCTTTAAACCATAAAACTGGAGCAGAAATTGCTGCTGTGGTAAGAATTTAAACTTGTTTATATCTGACTCTTGTATTAAAATTAACTTTTACTCATTGATCGAATACACCTGTTGCCTTTGCCATCACAATTTACTTCTACTTTAACAATTTACTATGAGACAGTTCAAGAGTTTTGACATCCTTGGAGCTTTGTCTGAAGGCTTGAGGCAAGAACAGCAGAGAAATGTCTTGTGGAGAACACTTTACAATTGAACTCTTCGGTGCCTTATGTGGTCCTGCTCTATGTTGCAAGCCTATGGAAAAGATAGAGCCAAAAAGTCAGAAGAAATTGAAGCTGTCTACACATAATTTGCTGAGTTCTTGCTCAGTACAGGTGGTTTTTTTTGTTCTGTGGAGTGTAGTAGCACTTCAGGGTTTTACATCTATGATAGTCAGTTCAAACAAATTAATTCTGTGTGTGAGATGGCGACCTCTTATTATTTTTCTTTTTTATTTTCTTTTTAACCTGCCTTTTAAAATCATGAGTTCTGCAGAAGCATAGAGGAGAAACTGCAAAGCAGCTGCTTCTCCAGGCTGATGCTCTGGAGGAGCATCGTGATGAGTTACCTCTGATGACTGGACTTGTCAGTTTTTGTGTGCACCCTGAGGAATGAATGAACTTTTGGATGAAAGCTGGTTTCTTTACAAAAGGGTTTCTTTACACTGGGCTGCACTGCTGGATTTAATTGTCGTGTTGGTAGTCAGAGAACTCTGTTTTCTGGGATCATTGATCTTAGCCACTTCTGCAGATTCTCAGGTTCACTGAGAAGAAAAACATAATTTCCCAGGCCATGATGATTTGTCATCGCAAATAATGCAGGAAACTGAACTTCTGAGGACTTTGCTGTGAAACTACTTTTCAAAACTTGTCTGTGACAACTCTTTCTGCTCCCTGTAGGTGTTTGGTTTTCTGGCAATGGCAGTGTATGCTGTGAACACGTTTTTAGCAGTTAAAAAGTGGCGGGTGAGCAGCAGGCAGCAGAGCAGCCGGCAGAGCAGCGACTACATCCGCGCTCGGACAGAGTCCAGGGAGGTGGTGCATCGCCCCGAGATCCTGCGCCTGGACGCGTGAGAGCCACCCTCAGATGGGACTGAAAGGGAAAAAAGCACTCAGCTCCCTCATGGAATAAGGGTTTTTGCTTTATTTAAGGAGGAAAAGGTGGATCGAGGGTGGCGGAGGATGCCCAGCCCTGCACGTGCGCAGAGATGCTTTGAGCCAGAAGCTGCTGTCATGGAGGCAGAAAATGTTGTTTGTTCAAAAGGAAGATCCCCTCAAGACCTCCAGATATATACGTGCATATATTATATAGCTCATAGAATATATAATATATGTCTGTTCTGAAGTATGCCATTGTTTTGGATTAACTGCACAGCAGTTTTCCTTCCCCCTCTGAAGATGCACTGTTCTTCACCTGCCCCAGAGACAGAGCAGCCCTGCCCTGGCTGGCTGAGCGAGGAGGGACATCCACGGGAGCAGCTGGAACAGCCACGCATGCCAAGGAGCCAGGGGCACTCAGCAATAACTCAGCCGTGTGCCAGCCAGCCAGAGGGGTCTGTCCATCCCAAACTGTGTCTGTGTGTCCTGCTCCCTCCTGCCCTGAGGCTGCTGGAGACCGTTCCACGCCTTCCCACGGCTGGGAAAGGGCAGCTGGCCACTCTGGGCTGGGCTGGGCTGGGCTGCTCGCTGCTGGCCACGGGGATGCACTGAGTGTGAGTAGGTGCTTGTCTGCTCCTGTTGGGAAACATTCCAGTTCTCATTCCAAAGTGGGAAAATAAATAGGTTTAGGAGACAGGGTGGAGAAAAGGGGCTTGAGGGATGCAGTAGAGAATGAAGGGGTTGTCATTCTATAGACTTACATTCCTGCCATAGCTTTATTTTTCTTTCTCTTTTTATTTTTTCTTTATTTTTTGTTTTAAGGTTCAGCATTTCTAGAAGTTTTTGCTAGAGCTTGCTTTCCCTGTAAGACCAGGGTAAGTAAGAACTGGCAAAAATTTATGTGCTTTTAAAGTGTTCCTAAGGTTGCAATGTTGTGGTTCATGAGGGTAAATATTTCTTTTTGGAAAAATGGTTGTTCTGAAATTAAACCTAAATTGGTAGTAGATAAACCTGATTTTTTATTTTAACTGGGTGTTTCTTCAGATTTATTCCCCTTATGTTTCTTTGGAAAATGAATTTAGTTAATTGGAAAATAATATGATTTTATTGATTTGTTTAGAAATAGTTTTACTTAGCTGAAGTTTTTTTTTTTTATTATTTTCTTTGTACTTCCAGTGAATGAATTATGTTTTCTCTACTCAGAAATCAAATTCAGCAGTAATTGGCTAGACCATGTCACAATATTATTAGGAAGATGTCTCTTGATATTTTTCTGTTTCTTTGGTGTCTTTATCTCTACAGTGCATTATTTGGCATTTGTGTGCCTGTGTGAAGACAGTGTGTGGGAGGAGATCTCTGGAGCTGAACTCCTTTGTGGTGTGAGGAAAATGAAAATGTGTGCAATTAGTGGAACTGTTTGCCTGAGTTTGTGTGTCCTGCTGGAGCTGCACTGCTCAGGGTGAGTGCAGCCCCTGGAGCCTTAAGAACAACAGGCTTAATTGTGGATAAGTTGTTTAACCATGAAAACCAAGTTACACCAAACAGGAGATCAGGAGAAGTGCCTGGGCTTTTATAATACTGGAGGGAGCTGGGATAGTGAAAGTGTGAACCTAATGCTGCAATATTCAAATTGAGCATCAGAGAATTATTTCAGTGAGTGAAAAAAAAGTGACAAAAGTGATGCCTTTTCATTTTCCATGTATTGACATCTACAGTGCATTTCACCTTAGTGGCTAAGATGGAGATTAAAATTCAGAGTTACTGATGAGGTTAAGGAAAATTTGCATTTTCTTAGTGATTGATGGTTTACCACTTCCTACAGTAATATTTTATTGTGCTTTATTGGATGCAATGCCAAAGGGAACAGCAGTTTAAAAGGAGATTGAACCAACTCTTGGAGCTGGATTAGAACAGAGACGTTGCACAGAGGGTTGTCACACCTGGGTGCATTCCCTGAGCAGCACATGGCAATTCCATGGCCTGTGTGGTAAGGAGTAACAATTTGTTATTGCCAGAAGTGCTGTGACAGCCCTGCTGTTTGCCAGCACTGCCCAGGACTGGCAGAGTTTGCAATGTCAATTATTAAAAGACTTTTTAAAAGTTGCACAAGCATACCCAGTCTGGAATTGTAAACTGCCATCAAAGCAGTTTGTGTAAAGATTATGGAAAACCCCAAGCAAACCAAAACCAAAAAAACCCTAAACATCCCACACCAAAATGAAGCCAAACCCACCTACAGAAAAATGAAATAGAGTTCTCCAGAAGATCCATGCTTTTAGAGTGGAGCTGCTGTCTGCAGTCAGGGAGCAGGATGGTGTTGCACAGGGATTTTGTCAGGAGTGTGTCCTGTCACTGGCCAGGGCTGAAGGAGCATTCCCAGATCCTCTCCTGTGCTCCCAGGCTCAGTGTGGTTGGGGCAGAGCTCTGGGAGCTCTCGTGCCTCTCTAGGTTTATGAATTTGGTACCTTTCAAACCTTTCCTGGCCTGGCAAAAGGGTAACTCGGGGGTTTTCTGTGGTGGGAGGTCCCAGCCCCTGTTGAGCTGCAGTGACAGGAGCAGAGTGGGGCAGTCACACCTCAGGGGCATCCTTGGGCAGTGGGGCTGGAATGGCTGCTGCAGGAGGGGTGAGTTTCTTCAGCTGGGAATGCCAGTATTTATTACTCACATCATGCCCTGAGCCTAGCACTGCTCTCAGGGTGGAATCCAAAAGAGAACAGTGATTTTAAAAATACTGTCTGATTCACTTCGTGAAGCAAAAGCAAATGTAAATGTGTAATTTCCTTATTTTTTGGGACCAAAGATGATTTTAGTATTGTACAGTATATACTTTCTAAAAAATCTTAAGCACTTACTGCTCTGCAGAGACATTATATACTATGTGGATTATATAGAAGGGAAATAAAGTGAGAAACAACTACATTTGAAATACTAAGATAATTTTATGTATACATGGTTCATTCCCCTGGAGTTAATTTTACACAGTGTATTGGAGAGGTACTTTTTTAAGTGTTATCTAAACTGCAGTCACACAAAAAAACCCTTAAGGGAGAAAAGAGGGTAGAAAGTTTAAACTTTTTTTAAACTTGCTTAGAAAAGTGACATTAAGTTGCTTCTCTCAGCCAGTTAGTCTTGCTTGTAATTGCTAGCACATAGGGATAATTTCTTTTAGTCCTTGGGGGTGCTGTTTAGCTCCATAAAAGAGACTCAAGTCCCACTGTAAACAGAACTAAATTAAAGCAAACAGTTGAACAGGATGCTTAAACAGTAATGGTTTGGATGAGTCCCCTTTGGTCAAAGAGAGCCCTTAGACCTGGAATCTTTGTGTATTTGTGGGTGTAGAATTGAGTAAATTCTGCAGCCTGTGCACAGACAGGGTGATCAGGAAGCTCTGGCTGCAGCAGCAGGGTGGGAGCTGTCGCTGGGTGCTGCCAGAGTCTGTTTGCCTCTCCCTGCTCAGCTGAGGTTTGTGCCATGGCCTTGTGCTGTGCAAACAGCCCCAGCAGGAGCTCCTAAACCCACACAGGAACTCACTTATGTGTCTGAGTGAAGCCAATTCCTTCTTTCTCTCCTGCTTTTCCTTTCATTTGGAATATTCGTGCCTCGTGGATCAAATGCTTTAATATTTAATTCTTGCTCAGCCTTGTTTGCTGGTCTGTGTAGTGTCTGCTGCAGTGCCAGGAAGATCAGAATGTGTCCAACATCCCTTTCTTTCAGATGTGGTGCTCTTCCCTTTCCTGATGGCTTCAGAGGCTGGGCTGGGTGTTCTTTCCCGTGGGAAGCTGGTGCTGGTGTGAGATTCCTGGTAGGAGCCACATGCTTGGAGCTTGGGAGGGGTAGAGAGTGATCTCCCTGTGCCTTCTGAGAGACAGGCACTGGCTCCAGGGAGCTGACATTTCTGTGCTGCTCACTGGATTCAGGAGCTCAGCATCAGCAAATATCTGTGCCTTGGCAGCAGCTCCTCACCTTGCAGTTATAAGGTGTCTTCTACATGGGATTTCAATAAAGGATCAGTTGCTCTTTCATTGGCTTTGTCACGTGTTGTGACCAACACTTTGTGTTTGTTCATCACTCTGTGTCTCACGGCACGCTCTGGTGTTGTTTCACCTCTCTGTATTTCATTGCTGCTTCTAGAAAGAGGAGGGGAAGGTTCCCACTGTTCCTAAGGCAGTAGTTTATTTCCCCCTGTGAATTGTTGTGTCCCATGTGCTGATTGTCCCCTCCCAGCAGGGCAGTCAGTGCTTCCCCAGGTGCTGTGGGTACAGCAGGAGAGGATCTGCTGCAGGCACTGCGCTGCTCTGGGGCAGTTAACCACCAGATCTGCAGGAGCTTTAAAGTCCCTAAATTAATTTGGGATTTGTCACCTCTCTGCTGTTTTGGGGGTGTGCAGGCACAGCAAATGCTTACCTAATTTGTGGCTTTATTAATGCAATCCTTTCTTCTTCCCTTTTGCTCAGGCCTCTTTCTGTATCTGTTATGTTCTTGTCTCATGTCAACTTTTTAATGATTTCTACTTGTTTTCTTATGTGAGGGGAAGAAACCACACCAAAAATCTAAAATAAGCAAGAATAATGGTTTTAGGGCATAATTAAAAAATGGAACCAAACTTAATTGCAGTTCAGATAGTGTAGGAAATAATATCCTCTGTCCTACTCAGCTGGGATACTGAACAGCTTTGTCCATGGAGGAGCATGAAGAACAGTTCCTGTCCTGAAAGCTCTGGAACCAAGAATCTTCAGCAGGCAATCAGGATAATAAAGAGGCACAGCCTGATAGGGAATTGGAGATGTGAGAAGGACATTTGACAATCCAGTGCTTTCAGAGTGAGACATGAGCAGTAAGAACCCTCAGTGGCCACTGCAGCCATGGTGATCTCAGGGGCTGGGAAGGGGCTGGGATTGTCCAGGGGGGGATCCAGGCTGGTCCCTGCTCAGCCCCATGGGAAGGAGTAAATCCAACCTCTGGCACTTCTGAAAATCAGGCACTAGGCTCGTGTTATTTGTAGCATGAAATAGTGGATTGTTCATTGTCTGGAGGCCAGCAAAGCTCAGAATTACTGTGCAGATCGAGGTGTTCTGTGTGTGAGTTTTATGGGCAACAAAAGCATTTTAAAATGATCCTGAAATCGGTACAAAAATGCATGGAATGTGTGAAAATACTTCGTAGAAATTATGCCATGTTCCTCTCTTTATTTTGACAGAGGGACTTGGTTAAAATGAATTTTTACAAATACTCAGGAAATCTTTGAATGACATTTTAGAGGATTTTCCTGGTATATTATTTTCCCTGTCAGCCACTTGGCCACCTTGATAGATCTGCTTGACCAAGTCAGAGTGGTGCTGTCCAACCTGAAAGGGTTCCCTTGTTTTGTTTTGGTTTTTTGTGTTGTATTTTAAAAAATTGTCTATAATTTAACCATTTTTATGCTAAAAATAATCTTTAAAAAAAATCTGCTTACACTGTGATTTCTGGTAGCCTTTAATTTAGACTATACAACACAATCTAATTTTCTTTTGGGATATGCAGCTTTCATAAGTGTTATAAGTGTTCTTATATATGCCCAGAAGTGAAAGTTGTCTATTTATCATAGGAATGTGATTAGATAAAGTAACCTATCCAGAATCCCAGTGCAGCTCTTTCGTATGTGCTGGATGGAGGAGTTAGTAAAATTGCCTTTTAATCTCTATGGGTTAATAAATATTTTTTTATAATTAGACACAGATATTCCTTTTTAAATTATACTTGGCAAACAGAAGGTATTTAATTTTATATACAATATACATAGTTACCTTGATTGACATATTTATAACATAGAGCTTTGTGTTTACTATGAAGGTTTTATCTGTATCCCATGGACTTCATGGGTAAAACTTTAAAAAGCCAGTTAGCATTTATGGAAGGATATGGGAACTTTCTTCATGGCTTTAGAATGAGGACATAGGAGCATTTAAAAGGCAATAGCCAGATTGTTTTACAGATTATCTGGGGGGGTTCTTATTTTTTGATTGGGGCTGGTCCCTGCAGCTATTTTAATAACATCTGGATGTGAGTAACAGAATGGAATATGAGCATCTGCCTCTGTCACAGGCTGTTGTCTAGAGCACAGGAAATTTCAGAGTATTGTATTGTTTTGTGTCAGACAAATGTCTCAGTAGACAGATTTAATTAAAACCTTCATGTGTCTGAAAGAAAACATCTTCTCTTAACTAGGCTGATTTGTCATTTTTGGTACCCTTTTAATCCCCAAAGTAGTGTTGTCTAAATATTTTTAGTGATGTTCCAGCTATCCTGATGTCTGCAGGTTAAAGTGATTCTGGCTAGCACCCTTTTATTACAACAATGGCTACCTTCATTTTTCTACTGTTTCTACTTTAATCTTGAATGTTTACCGGTTTCTATTGTCGGATCTTGTGGAGGGAGAGTGTCTTAGCACTACAGCTCATCCAGCTTTAACTCATGCATCACAGTCCTGGAGTAAGAAAATATTTTGAATTATATATTGTGGCCAATTTATTGCATTTTAAAATGATTTCTATACTTTAGACACAACATTTATGACATAATAGGATGAATGACTTAGCTAATCATTATATCTGTCTAGACTTACTCTCTTCTGTGTTAGTGTTATTTTGAAACTATTTGTATATGTTGAAATTTGTAAGGGTTCAGGAACCCACAATAAAATAGTAAAGTATGTATTTATTTCTCATTATAATGGTAATTTTGATTTGGAAGTTGACACTTTGTATGTCTTTTCACAGAATTGTAAACAAATACCGAAAAACTGCTTCACCTAGGGTGCCTTCCATGTGTGGTACAAACACTTGTCATTCACAGGAATAGAGATGTAAATTTATTAATCCAGTAAACACTATTTTTGTAATGTGAGTCACTAACGCAGCTCTGGCCTCGTTGTGCTTTGTTCCCACCACCACCAGGTTGATGGCTACTGTGGTCACTGCCTTCCCTCCCTGTGTGCACTAAATCTGACCCTGGGGAATCACAGCTTGTGTCTCCTTTGCTCTGCCCTCAGCTGCCCCCAGCACATTTCTGGTGCTCCACATTCCCTTCCCTGGCCTTGTGGAGGGATGCTTAGGGGAGTTTGTATCCTCAGGGCTGACTCTGGCTCCTCTGGACAGGCTCTGAAGCCCAGTCCAGACATTCCAATTCTAGCTCCTAATTTGTGATTTCCAGCTTCTGAGGAGGAAGCATCCAGGCCTGACCAAAAGACTTCATCCCTCTGGGTTATGGGTGCTGTATTGCCAGGTTTGTAATTGCAAACAGCTCAGAGGTACTGTGGAAATAACAGGTTAGAATTCCATTCAGGCTAAGCAAAGGGGATGCACTTTTCCTTTTATCATGAGCACAAGTCTGCTGTGCAATACCCTTGGTACTTTGCTTTTGCAGTAGAAGCTGCAGTGTTCTGTCCTGGAGGACCCTTGGTGCATCCCCTGTGTGGTGCCAGGGCAGCTCCTGCCTGTTGTCCTGCCCTGGGGACTGAGACCAGGGCTCCCCTGAGCACCAGATCCTGCTACAGGACTGGAGAGTTTCAGCAGGCAGCACATTCATTCCCCTGGAGACAATTCCCAGCCCTGGAGGATTTCCCATTGTTCTGCAGAGCCCAGAGCCCGTTGCTGCAGCAGCTGCTTCAAGGTGTTGTCTCCAGCTGGGTGCACCTTCCAGCTGTGCCCACAGCTGGACCTTGCTGCTGGCAGAGCAGCTGCTGGCTCTGGGTGGGAAAGATGTCCTGGGAATGCTTGATCAAGCTCAAAAGCAAGGTACTCTACAAGAGAACACCACCTCCAGCTTGTTTCTACACCAGTAACCATCTTTCAGTTGTTGTGTTCTTTCTGTCGGTGTCTGTGCTAATCAGGAAACACAAGCTGAAGAATTGTAAAGTCTTGCAATATACAAAGCAGTCTTGGTTTTAAAATCCATGCTGTTGCAGCATAATTTAAGTGATGTATTTATCAGTTTTAAATGTCATTTTGCTTTTCCAGTCTTTTGTATATGGGCACAATACTTTTTGTAAATTTTTTTTTTTATTTAGTTGTCTTTCTGTCTTTCCTTTCTGGTACTGGAAGATTTGAGCTCTCTGGGTTTTCACGGTACTATTCTGATCATTCTTCATAGTGGTAAAAGTCTGTATTTTTGTATGTAGGAGAAATGGTAGTTTTCTAACACTTAGCCCAATCAATATAGTATGGAATCATTTGTGAAGGACTTCTGTTTAATAAATGGACATATTAAAGTACTAAAACAGTGTCTTCATCTGTAAACGTGGCCTGGGCTGGGGCAATTTTCTTCCCAGTGGCTGGTGTGGGGCTCTTTTTGATGTGTGTTGATAATTCAGAGATGTTTCTGTTGTTGCTGAGCTAACCCAGAGCCAAAGCCTTTCCTGCCCCTTGTGCTGCTGTGCAGGGGAGGGTCTGGGGGGACACAGCCAGGACAGGTGACCCCAAGTGACCACAGGGGTATCCCTTATGGCATCAGGATGGGAAGGGGGGAAGGAGGAAGGGGGAATGTTTGGAGTGGTGATGTTTGACTTTCCAAGGCACCATTCCAGGGGATGTGGCCCTGCTCTCTGGAGGTGCTGAGCACCTGCCTGCCCATGGGAATTGAGTCCTTGTTTTGCTTAGCTCGTGTGCACAGCCTTTGTTTTCCCTATTAAATTGTCTTTACCTCAACCCAGGGGATTTCTCACTTTCTCTGCCTTGTCTCACTGAGACAGCAATTCCTGTGTGGGGCTGGGGGCTGCTGGGTGAAACCTCCCCAGGAGGCAGCAGAACCCCTCATGCAGCACTGGGGGGTTCCTGGGCTCATAACCCAGCCAGGCAGCTGCAAAACGCCCTTTGTGTGTGGGACCAACACCCAAAGCCCCTGGGGCTGCCCCAGGACACTGCTGGGTGCCTTGGGGAGAGGGCAGTGGAACAGAGAACGTGGAACTGCTCTGCTGCTCACGTGCTTGTGGTGGAATTGCTCTTGGGGTGTTTCTGGTGTTCTGCCATGGGCTGCAGTGCTCCTTCCTGGGCTCTGCAGCTTCCCATTTGGGACTGGAAAGGGATTTGGGGGCTGAAATGCCCCAGGGAGTGGGGAATACTCTGCTGCCTCGGGGCTGGGGGCTGCAGGTGATGCTGATGGGATTTTTGGTTTCCAGGTGCTTTAGGCACGAGGTGGGAGCACTGAGTCAATGCAGGTGAGAACAGTGGAAAGGCAAGAGGGATGGGTGAGTTTGTGAAGAGATTTGGGAATGTGGATGCTGCACTCAGAACACTTGGGAGGGACTGGGGAGGGTGGCACAAGGCAAGGATTTCCTGAGGGAACCACAGGGAACGTGGCTCACATTCCCTCTTACAAGGGGTCAGTTAATTTTGCCTGTGTGGGGCTGTCAGCAGCACTGGCATTACCCAGGGTGGTATCCATGGTGCTCCTGGGTCAGGAGAAGCTTCATCAGCTGTCAAATTATAAAAAAAAATAAATTATTTTGTCTAGCTTTTAGATAGTGGATCTCTTCCTTCAGTCTCCTAGGAAGACTGTAATTCATTTATTCATGGATCAGGCTAATGTGATGGGCTGTGTCCAAAGTCCATAAAAGAAAAGGACAGATGCTTCCTGGCAAAAATTAATGTTGGAATTGGTATTTTCCTCTTCACTCCTCCTTCCCAAAGCCCCAAACAAAACCACACTTAAATTTTCTGGGTAGCACTGTTTTACTTTCTGACCTGGAAGCTTTACAAAACGCTGAACACTGAATTCTTCCACTAAAGGAGTGTCCTAGGGTGACTGACTGTGTCACACTGTGCATTTCTTGATGCACTCCTGTTTATTTATTCCTGACTTTTTAAAGACCCTGACTTTTAAGGCAATATTCCATGCAAAAAGGTGTCTCAAGCATCTTGTATCAAGATTCACATCCTCAGTTCTCAGAATTTCTGCTTGATACATCTTCTCTCAGAGGATTAAAGGTGAGGCTGCTGTGCATGTGCTGCCACATGTGGCATTTGCCCTTTGAGGGCCATTTGTGTCCTACTGCAAGTCTGGAGTGAAGCCACACAATGATTTTACCTCTGATCACAGCAGTGCCCAGTGAGCAGCCTCAGCAGAAGGACAATGAGTGGAACCAGGTGCTTGCTGAGCAGAACATCCAGCTGTGTTCTCTTTCCAGCACACCAGGCTGTTCTCCACCACCACAGCAGCTGAGATGCTCTTCCTTGGTATCCTGGAAGTGACTCTGTCAGATGGAAATGGAAGTCCTGAGGAACTTGGAAGAGTATCAAGTGAAAAGCACAGTTAGGTGGAGTAACAGACTGTTCAAAGGACAACAGAACCTCTTCAATCAGAATCTAAAAAAGCTGCTTGGAAAGGCACTTGAATTCATTGGAAAGGTCTTTTGAATTCCTTGGAAAGGTATCTGAATTCCTTGGAAAGGTATCTGAATTCCTTGGAAAGGTCTTTTGAATTCCTTAGCATTACCTCCAAAAATCACTTCACAAGCCTGAACAAGTCTACAGATAAATGTAAAAGCTTGGTAGGAGGGAGAGAGCCTTTCAGGCAGGTGAGAGCTATGTGAACTCACCTGAGGTGCCACTTTCCCTTCCCGTCAGTGGCTTTGAGGTCACGGAACTGCTGGTATTGTTTCTGCATGGATTTGTCCACACTTGGGGCTGGAAACAGCCCAGGAACTCCAGGTGGCAGTGGCTGTGCTGGAGCTGCAATGAGGGCAGGGATTGGGCTTTGGGGCTTGGGAAGCAGCTCCTCCACAGGACACAAGTGATTGTGATTGGAAAGAGGTGTCTGACAAGGCCACTGAAATCAGGATTTAATTAAGGACTCCACACTGCAGGTGCAGTGCTGTGTTTGTCACCTGAATCACAGAGAAACCAGTGCTCCCAGAACCCTTTTGATGTTGTCAGTTGAGGAAAAACAAGCAAATAAACAAAAAACCCATAAAGCGAAGCTGGCTCCTCCTCCACGTGCCCCAGACCCTGAGCTTGGTGCAGTATTTGTGGTGGAATATGGGCAGAACACTGAGTCAGCTCCCTCCACCCCAATCCAAACTGGCTTTGAGGTAATTATTTTAAATCTAATTTTCTGAAGTGATATTTCTAAAATACAGAACCCTGTTTTCTTTCAGTCATGGGAACAGATCTTTTTTAATAAAAGGCCAGAATCTTACAGAAGTGCTTGACCCTGGGAGCAAACTGCTTTGAAATAAATGAAGTCACCAAGTACTTAAAAGCCAGTAAGGAAATTCTCTGGGCAGGCACCTCACTGAAAGCTGCTAAAGCAGTCCTGAAGCAACTAATGAACATTTTGTTTGCAGCCTGTTAATCCAACATGGAAAAAATTACCAGAAAATCTCAGTATATTTTGGGTGTGTGAAGGGTGAACCCGAAGGGTGACTTTGTTCTTTACGGGGTCATTGGTTGCCAAGAGGGAGCATGGAATCCCCAATGCTTAGAACTAATATCTAGAATATTTAGAACTAATTTTTGGTCACATTTTTTCATCTCATACCCTAAGGAAGAGGTTTGTCCTGTGGCTGGTCCCCAGGGCTGGCTCTGAGCTGTGCCCTCTCCCCAGCACAGATTTGGGATTCCTGAAGTCACTGTCCCTTGTTCTGGGCAGAGGCAAAGCAGCAAAATCAGGTCTTCAAGTAAGTAAAGACACCAAACACTTCTATTAAAAGAGGTTTAATCCAGCATGGTTTCTAAATATTAACCATGTCTTCAGCTGTGACATGCAGTATATTTTTCTACTTAAAAAAAAGAGAAATACAAAACAAGTATAAAAATGAGCCCAGGTCCCCTGAACATCACAGTGTGCCAGTAAAATAGACAAGAGAAGGGAAAGAAACATGGGGTTTTGTACAGGAAAAGGTCCAAAGAGATCTTCCTGATAAATCAAGGATTATCTGTCACATTTAGAAGCAATCACTTGTTCTGCATTTACTCTGTCAGTGGTCAGGAAGCAGGAGATGTAGGAGCTGCCTGCTGGACAACTCCAAACCTGACCAGCACCCCCTGCTCTGTGCCAGCTCCCCTGTCCTGCCAGCCACAGGGAACTGGAACCCAGGTGCTGATTTTATTCCAAAGGAAATCTGCCTTTATTGTTTTATCCCTGTTTTTCAGTTACTCTGTTAGTACCATCTGCTCTCATTTTAATCACACCTGTTGTGGTACTGTATTAATTTTTAAAAAATCCATACAGGTTTATTTGCTACAGACCTGTCTGATGCCATCTGTGAGGAGTGTGCTGTGCTCTTCCCAAGCATTCCCCAGTGTTTATAAATGGACACAGATATTCCAAAGTAGGCTGTGCTACCTGTGAAAACAGCTTGTCAATTCAGAGGGCTTCTCCCCTGGAATACAACACCACAAGGTAAGTCACATCCTCCCAGGGGGGAAAAATCAACTCAACCCACCCCACCCACACACACTGAAATAAGGGGGCTGGAGTGGTGAATCCACTGCAGACATTCTGAAGTTTGGGGTTGGCTTTTTGGCCTTTTCACAGTGGGGAGGAGCCCCTGCCCTCCTGGGGCCTGGGCACCCTCAGTGTGGCAGCACCAGTGGCCTCAGCACAGAGCAGGACATCAGGCACTGGAGCCTGTGGCACAAACACCTGCAGGTTTCACCAGGCAGGTCATGCTGGGAGCTGTTGGCCAAGCCTGCCTTCCCTGGCTGTGCAAACACTCACAGGGGCTTCTAAAAACAGGTCAGGGCTGCCCAGAGCTGCCTCACCTGTTCCCCCCCATCCTGTGGTGAAATTGCAGCAGAGGGGATGTGACTCCATCCAAGCAGCTTAAAACAAGGGATACTTAATGTTTGATGAGCCAGCTGCCCTGCAGCACCATTATACTACTCTGAGGTTTGTTCTTGCTGCAGATTTCCAGTTGTCACATTTCCTTGTCCCAGATGGACAGGAGATTTAAAGGTATTGAAACAAACATGTTAACTGTAATCCATGCCTTCAGTGCTTGGGAGTATTCAGACTTTGGATAAAAAAATACTGTTAGTTAATCAAGAAAAATACAAACAGAGGCATCCAAACCTCTCTTCTTTGGCATATATAAGTATAAAAGCTTTAAGTGTTAAAGGTTTGGAATTATGAAAGCACATTAAAAGCTGTAAATGTTAAAAATGCCGTTCCCATTTACTCAGGACATGGATGTGCTGAGTGGGGAGGAGCAACAGAGAATTGAGCTGTGTTGTTTGGACAGAACTACTGGAGGATCTGTAGCTGTCAAAGAGTTTAGTGGCACTGGGAATAGTCTCCTTTTCCACATCACTGCCTTGTCTGTGCTCTGGTGATTCCATGAACAGTGAGGTGGTAAGGGGCTGAAATGAGGGGATATTTCAATTTACAGTGCATTCAGCAGAGAGGAAAGTGCTTGATCATCTTCCCTTCACGCTTGGTTGGTGTTTGGTTCTTCAGTCTGAGTCAGAGTCGGAGTCCTCATCTGAGGGGTGAAACAAGGAACAAAAGTGAAAATGCAAACTGGAAACCCCCCCAGCTGTGGTTCTGGTTGGGAGAGAGGCTGCTGTGGCAGGGTGTGCTTCAAAGGACACAGCAGGATTGGGAATGAACACTTCTGTGCAATGGCAGCTCTTGCTGAGGTGATGGGACCTGAAATGGTGTTTGTAGGAGTTGGAAGATGCTGCTGAGAGGCCCTGCTGGCATCCTTGCTGCTCTGGGCTCTGCTGTGTGCTCTGCAGCTCAACACTTCTGAGATGCTGAGAAATCCCTCCAGGCCCACAGAGCTCCATCCTTCTGGCCTCAGCTCATGAAAGTCCCTGTGTGAACACAAGTTTGGGCTGCAGGGCTGAGCCCTCCTTGCATGGCCATAAACACCAACACAAAGCTGTGTGACTGCACTTCTGTGAGTTGATGTATTTGTGTCTCCATCTCCAGGGGAATTAGATCTAATCTGTATCCTAACTCTGCATCCTTGCCACCTGGTCATCTTCTGAGGGCAGTTCAGTAGTTCAGTTTTTAGCTTTTGCAGTCTGTTTCCTGTTCCTTTAGTTATTTTTTTTCCTTTTGTCTTTCTTTTCAGCCTAAAGCTTGAAAAATACTTAACAGTTCACTAAAATCCCCAGAACAGATTTGTCAGTGCTGCTGTTCACTTCCTAGGATTCTATGCACACCTTGGGTGTTTGGTTTTGCAGGGGTTTTAAATGGAGTGTTTGGGGGGGGGGGTTGGGATATTTTTCGTTTGTTTTTAATGTGGAGCAGTCTTTTTAATCCATGTGGGTGCAGTAAGTAGTCACAGGGACATCATGCCTGGTTTGGGCTCCTGGAAACTGCAAAACAACTACCCCTGTCTTGACCTGAACTGGCACCCAACACCTTTTAGTCTTTTTCTAAGTGGATCTCTCTGAAGTAGACTTCAATAGAAGAAAAAATTGATAACAATACTGTTTGACTGTTGGATTTCAAGGCCATTTGCCCACAGATGGTCAAAGCTGATCAAAAGAGGTGATCATGTAAAGGAAATGATAAAGAGAAAAGCACTATTTGAACATAAAAGGCTGTGGATTCATGGATGTTAGATATAAGTTACTAAAAAAAAAAAAAAAGGTAGAAGTTTGCTTGTTTTTACAGCAAGACATTTTAATAGGGAAAGTAAATCTGTGCTGCATGGTGATGTCTATAATTGGATTTGGGGCTTTTCAAAATTAGAGGTTGTGAAACTCTGAGAAACTTCACATTCCTGGCTTGCAGGTTATCTTCATAAATCACTGGAATCCCATTTGCAGCTTCCTAACTGAGCAGAGCTGTGGCACACAAACCCAAGAACAGAAAGTGCTCTTACTGGGAAAGAGCTCTTGCTCCCTGCAGAGGGTGAAATGGAGAGGGAAATCTCACACTGCAGCTCGTGTAACAAGCAGGGAGTTTTACCCACCTTCTGTCTTGTGCCCCTCGGGGGAATCGGAGCTGCCTTGCTTGAGGAAAGTGACCAGGTCATTGAAAGTTAGGTAGAAATCAATGGCAAACACGATGGTGGCTGCAAACCCAAACACCTGAAAGGGTAAAGTAAGACTCAGTAACAACAGCTCCTGTCTGTCAGGGACAAACCAAACCCAACCAAGCCCACACAGGAAAAATTCCATGAATTTTTTGACCTGTGCCTTTCCAAAAAGGCAGGGAAGGGAAATGGTTTGTGACACATTGGTATCAACTGAACTACAGCTGATTTGGGAGCCTGAGAAGTGACCAGGTGTGTCCTTATCCCTCCCCCAGGCCACAGCCCTTGCGGGCTCTGGGCACATTCTGGTGCACCTCCTGCACCTCCACTGTCCCAGGACACCTCTGCCACCAAGAAATCACCTCCATTTCTTGGGAAATAAATTTCCACTTGTTTGCAAGGAGATGTGTTTATTGCTGAGTGAATTAGACAGACTGAAGTGATTCTGGAGTTTCCTCTCCAGTGCCAGAGCAGCAGAGCCGTGCCAAGCACAGGCTGGGTGCTGGGCTGGGCTGAGCTGAGCTCACTCCATCCCTCCACGTCTCACCACAGGGACAAAGATCAAACAAGGTTTGGGTTTGCATTGTGGGATGGTTTGGGAAGGGCTGCTGGGCATTGTTCTTCCCAAGCTTAAACAATTGTTATGCAAATTTTATTTATGTTGCATACATTATTGATGCTTAGAGTCAAGTTGCAGATGCAGGGGCTGTATTTCTGACCACAAAATGCTGATGGGTGAAGGCTCTCTCCTGGGCAGTCTTGGTATTGGAGGGTAAAATGACACTGCTCTTGTTTCAACTCATCCAAGTAAAACTAAGCAGGAGAGGCAGGAGGTTGAAATTACTTAATTCAGACTGGCCTTAGCAGTTGCAGGTTTGAGTTATTTAAAAAAAAACCTAAAAAATTATTATGATTATGATTATTATTCCTTCCATTCAAGGATCATGACACTCCTTGCAGGAGCAGCTAGTAAAATTAAAAAGCAGAATAGGTGCCTTCCCTAAGGGTACATTTAACACTGAGCAACTCTGTTAGGGTGAAAGAACTAGTCACAGGTTCAAGACAAATTTTTCTGAATAAGTGATATTTCTGTGCTTTAGGCAAATTCATTTTCAGTTAATTGAAGAAACTTCTCTGACTTGAACTGTTTCTTAAGTACATCCATACTCTGTTCACCATAGCACTTAGGTGGAAAGCTCATGCCTACTCACCCCTGCTGCTTTAGATGCTCCATCGTTGTATTTTGAGACAGCAGCAATTGAAATGGCAAAGTAAATAATGGCAGCAGTGACGCAGCGCAAGAAATCCTGTGGAAGAAGCAACGGTGCATTCTCAGACTGCTCAAGGATTTCCTCTAAAAACCATTCTGGAAACGAACACTCAGCCCCTCTGTTGTTGCATCAGTGGCCTTGCTGGTATGTAACCACAGCCTGGGTTGCTGCAGGGGAGGAACTGCTCATCTGTGAAATATTTCTAAATAAGAGAAGCCCTGAGCCTTGGCATAAACTTCTGCTCTTAAAGATGCTGGGATAAATCTGGCTTCTACCCTGCCTGTGTCAGGCAGACCTTCCTTCAGCCTGGGAGGGGCTGTCCAGGGTGTTTGCCTTGGAGCACAGCAAGGGATTTGATGGAAAAATCGTTTGAAATTACTTAAAACCTCATGTTTGAGCAGGACTCCTGTGGCACCAGAGGCTCAGGAGGTCCCAGCCCCCATGGGAATGGATGCCTGTCTCTCTGTGGATGCAGGGCTGTGAGGTGATCTCCAGGGAGACCTGGCTGGGCAGTGCCTCATTCAGGAACACAACGCTTGGATTAGTGTTGGAATGATTGATACTTCCTATGTCCACTGCCAGCTCCATGCCTGCTGTGATCCCTGGGACGTGTCCTGCTGAGCTGTGCCCTGACACACAGCAGAGATGTCTCTGCAGTGAGCTTTAAACAGAGCTGTGCTTCCCAGGGCACATGCAAATCATGGGAGCTGCAAAAATGGAACCTTCAGCTCTGTTCACAGTTAGCTCTTCTGCCTTTCCAGAACAGATGGAGGAGTAAAATCCTGTCTCAAACCACAAATCCTGCAAGAAACCCGATTCCTCTGAAGTCAGGACAAGGTCAGTTATCTATATTCTGTGCCTGTAGTATGTTATGGTAATGGCCATAATAAACACACAAGTGCCTTTTTTGTCTTAGTTCTGGAACCAGATGCATGTAGAAAATGATGGAACTGAGATTACCAGCTGAGAGCTGTGCACAGTCGTAGCCAAAGTCACTGATACTGTTTTATCTACCAGTGGCCTTGCTAAAGTTATTTTTGTACAGGGAGCTCTAATTCAAACCTCACTGCAATGAACTACTGATGGTACCAAAAGAGAATCCAGATTGATAAAATCAGTGGGGTTTTTTTTGAAGTATTTGTACGGCAAGGCAGCTGCTCCCTTTGCAGTGATATCTGAGGCTGCAGGGACATCCAGTGGCCAGGGCTCTCCTGCAGCCCCAGCACTGCCCCAGCAGTCACTGGGCTGCTGTGTGGGCATGAACTGGCCAGAGCTGGCCCTTCCTAGAGCAGCTCAGTTTGTCTGAGGGTGTAACTCTACCTGAGAATTTAATCACAGCCTGATAAAGTCTGCCCATTATCAACAACACACCCGTTTCCCCATCTGCAAGGGTGGCAATAAGGAGCCCCCAGCAGTCAGACTTGGGCTGATACTGGCCCCAAGCCATTTGCCTGGAATTTGGAATACCAGCTGTGCTTTGATAAAGCCATGCCTTGTGTCAGCACCCAAAAAGCTGCAGAGCAGAGCATGGAGTGCTCCAGGACCTTCTGAACCAGAGGCAGCATGGACAAGTTTCTAACAGGGCAGTAAACTTGTTACAGTCACCCTGATCTGCCCAGCCCCTTTCACCCCCTCACACCAGACAATTAATTCTGAAGGTTTCTGTTGCACATCTCACTTACCGCCAAAGGCCAGTGGACTCCTTTAAACTTCTCATTAAGCTTGGAGGCGTAGGCAAAAAAAAGAAACAGTGCCAGCAGAAACTCTAGGAGTGGTGCCATCATGAAAGAAGCTGCTAGAGATGCAATATAGCAGATAAAGATGATAAATGACAGCACCTAAAGTAAAGGGAAAACTCGCAGTTATTTGCATGGAATAGCAGAGCCGCAGGCAGCTGAGCAGCTTTGAAGTGTTATTTTCCCTGTGTATTTCTGTCAGTGCTGCTGCTGCTGGCATAGCTTCAGCATCCTGCTTTTTTTATTTTTCATTGGGCCAAATGATTTTTCTTGTTCAGCACAGAATAAATCTGAAGTAATGGTGTTTATTTCCCTGTGTGTGAAATCGCTTTTCCAGAGCGCTGGGTGGATTTACACCCCTTGAAGTCGGTAATTTGCTCTGGATTGTAAACAGCTCTGACAACATAATTCTGAAGATAGAGTGGGGTGTTGCCAAGCAAGCAGAGCTCTAAGCTTTCAGCTGTGACAGCTCTCATTTGAAACCCAAATCAGTGCTCAGACAGCCTGAAGTAACTCAGCATTTATAATCTTGGAGTTGAAAGAATAAAGTCTGCTGATGATGGATAGAAAAGGGACAAGAATTAATTGTTCTGCGATTTCTGGAAGTGTCTGGTTCCAGTTTTCCAGCGTGGAAGCTCTTCCAGAGAGTATTAGGACAGATAACTCCCACAGATTTATCTCCATAATGTTTCCTATCTCTAATAAACAATAAAAACTGTTATTTTTTTCCCACTCAATTGAAATACCTTTAGAAATACAGCTCAAAATAGAAAGTTTCACAATGGGACTGAAGAAAATGCATTTTCACCTAAACCAGGCAGTAGCAGAGTGCTACACTCCTGGACTGTGATTGTAAAAGTGGAAGGTGAGGGAACCATGGAGAAGCTCAACACCACTTCCAGTCACTGCACTGAGGGTTGGTGGTCTCCAAAAAAGAGGCTCCAGTCCTCCTGTTTCACTGCCATACATGGGAACTGCTTGTTGTTTCAATCAAATTACCCTGAAGTAACAAAAGTAGCCGGGATGCTCAATTATATATTGTCATGTGCCAGTTCATACCTGGGCTGCTCTGCCCAGCCTTTCCTCCTGGACACAAATCTGTGCCTTCCCAAAGCTCAGGGATGCTTTTGGTCAGCACAGACTGAGCATTAGATTACAAAGATGTTTTTTTAACTTCTAATTCCAAACTGGGACACTGATATTCCCACTCACACATCATTGAAAATAAATGGATTCTTTACCCCCAGATGATAGGCACATCTGAAGGCAGCTATAGCATTTCTGCAAAGGTAATCAAAGCATTTGCCTCATTAAATTTCAGCTCTGTGGATTTTGTTTGCTGCTACCGTGGGTTCCTGGAGACCACCAGTACCAGAAAAAATCATCATTATACCTGAGTGATAAGACTCCTATGATTATTAATTGGTAATTACTCCTATGAGAGGTCAGTCAACCCTCAAATACATGTATCAAAAAACCATTTATGTTTAGGGGGCAACTAAGCAGTTCAATCCCACTGAAATAATTTCTTGGTGTAATTAATTACCAAGCCTTTATTCTCAGCCTGTGTTTTGAGGGAAATAGTGTCTGAGCAGGATGCTAACAGCTGGAGTAAACTGTTTTCATCCACTAGGACTGGCTGGTGAGGTTAGAAAGGATGTGATATTTTTAGTAAGAGACTATACTTATCTTAAATATCTATGCATTGTTCTTTTTTCACTGGGTTCTAAGAAACTGAGCTGGGATAGTTTATAGAGCTCACTTCTGCATGGGCCTGTTAGCTGGTAATATCAGCCCCATTCTGATTTGTTTATTGCTCACAGAGCCTCTCTGCAGGTTTTTCTCATTTTCCTAAGGTGGAGGGAGTTCATTCCCTGTATCTCATCCTTAGTGTGGTATTTTCTTTCTATGAGCTAAAAGTGATAAGAACTCTTTGAAGGGAAGTGGATTTATCAGAGCTTGACAGCTCTTAAGAGGAGAGAGGACTTCCTTCTTCCTATCACAGCACCTATTCCCTTCCCACCCCAAAAAACATAGACTGCACTTGCTTTGTGAATTCACTTTGCTTGCATTTCTGGAACAAAATTTAGACACAGTTCTACGTTTTCTTGGATTAAAAAGAAATCACCATCTATACAGGACATTTTCTTTTTGTTTTCTGGTGTTGAAAAAAGTATCTTCCTTTTTGTGGCTAAAGGCAGGTGTGTGATGGCTGAGCTGCAGGGGTGAGCAGCAGCAGAGCTGGGTTCAAGGGCAGGTCCCGCTGGCCACAACCCTTCTAATGGCAGATCCTTAGACTTGAACTAGACCTGGTGATCTCTTAGGAGAGGATTAAATGCAGTGTTAAATAATACATCCTACTGGAGCAGCAACGGGAGGTAGAGAGGCAAATTTCAGATATGTAAGGTGATGCTGCACAGCAGACATCCTTTTGATCTCAATTCTGTTTGAGTCAGTAACTTCTGTGCTCTGACTGCCTTTGCACTGAGAAAAAAATATTTCCTGTTGAAGTGTAAAGTGAAAAGAAGAGCCTTTGTGGTTTGTTATAATCAGCTTTGTGGAAATTTGTGCCAGGGAAGGCTCCTGCTGTCCCCTCTGAGCCCTGGGCAGGTGTGAGGTTTAGACACAAGCTGGACTCGGGGTGAAACAGGAGCTGTTCTGTGGAAGGAACAGATCAAGGAGCCCCTGACTGCAGGTGCTGGGGTGTCAGGGGATCCCTCCTTCTGTGCCAGGGAAGCTGCTCAAGAGACAGATGAGTCTAAGCATTTTAACTTTCTAACTGGGTCTGACCCAGAAAAGTTGGGGAAATAGTTGTTTATTTTAAAATCTGGTTACCAGGCCAGTTACCTGTCCAACCCAAGCCCTGTGTGATGGGAGATGACAGCAGTGTCCTGCTGCCTGCTCCTCAGCCCTGAGGGTCAGTGACTGTATTCCCACCTTCCCCACCCTCAGTGGCTGGAGTGACTCCAGCCTGTCTCCACTTGTCAGCATCTCGGGAGAACTGCACCTCTAGGCACACTGAAAAAAAGGGCACCTTTTGATTCACAAGAAGCTGCTTATTTCAGTAGATTATTGATGGTATCAGCAAAGGGAAAAGACTCTGAAGTGTGGCAATTGGTCATTCCTCATCCTGGAGGCACTATGAGACTGAAAGGGCCCAAGGAAGATTTTATATAAAATAAACATCTATAAAATAATGGACCAGATTTTGAGAATGAAGATTTGAAAGATGGTATTTTTGGATACTTTCCTTGGGGGAAGGCTGGAAGGCCCAGGAAGGGGAGGGAAGCACACCTTGGAAAGAGCCAGAGCAGCAACAGGAAGGAGGTGCCTGAGGGCTCTGTCAGGTGAAGACCATGGCACTGCACCTTGGTGCTGCACCTCGTTCTTTGGTTTTCTTCATTTCTGTCTCCCATCACAGCCCTGACATGGATTTTAATGCCAAACTTCCTTGGTAGCTTGCGAACAGCCCTGTGTAATATGAGAGCTCACAAACTGTAAGATTTTGATGATATTTCTCATTTCTCCTTGTGTAGAGCTCATTTCCTCTTCTGACAGGTGGAATGCATGGACTCCTTGAGCAATATTGGCTATTACCTATAACTGTCTTTTCTGAATTACAGAAGTCAGCAGATGCCTTTTCTGACCATTTAAGTGCACTGCCACTAACTCAAGCACTTGATGTTATCTTAAAATTTTAAAAATACTCCTCTCCTCCCACAATGCAAACACTGCAGTGCCAGTCTGAACCCAGAAATAATGACACCTACCTATGTGCTTTTCCAGACTTCAGGTCTTTGCAACAAACATCTTACAAATTGAAAGGTGCTCTAAAAACTCAAGAGCACCTTTCAGAATATACCCTGACCCCTCCAAGGACTGTCAAATGTTCCACAGCACATCACACTTGCTCTGCACCTCTCTTCCTGGAGCTGTGTGTTTCAGGGTCACTTCAGAGAAAGGTCAAGCAATGGGACCTTGGTGTTTTTCTTACTGCTCTGTATCTATGCTTAAAAAAAAAAAAGGCAGCTAGAGAGGAAGTTTGTGAGGCTCCATGCAGTTGCAAGTTCATTTCTAGCACTTTCCGAAGGCGCTGCAGCTTCTCGCAGAAAAAAAAAATAGCAGTGTTTTAGCAGTTTTTTGAATTTGTATTTACACAGGGTTTTTCTCTTCCCCTCACCTGGGGTTGCACTCTCAGCACTGAGAGCAGCTGAGTCTGAGCTCTTTCTGAGCTGCTGATGACAGCTTGGGGTGACTGCTGCCAGCTTCACTGTGAAGGAATATCTGCATGCAGGAAACTCTAATGCAGCAAAGAGCAGGACAGGAACCTTTCATAGCTTGGCAGTCGTAAGTGTATAAAAAATCCTGGCAAAACAGCAGCCTGACTGTTCACTGAGCACCTTTTGTGTGCACTCCCATTCACACAGAACCCTTCTTGGGTATTGTATTTCAGAAAGTAACGTTCCCATTTAAACCCATGTAATTATTACTTAATATTGTGTTACTGGGCTTCTTAAAGTGGCCAAGCATTATGAAGTTATACTTTATTGTACAAGTGGTTAGAGAGCACAGTGTCCCTGAAGGGAGGGAGGCCTGAGCAGTGCTGAGGTCATGGCAGCTCCAGAGGCGTTGTCTCCCCTGAGGAGGGAGAACAGACCCGCTGGAACCCACTGGGAATATTGGGATGCTGGGAAGCTGCTGCCATCACTGCAGCAGCTCCTCTTCTCCTGCTCTCACCTCCCTCCCCAGGAAAGAACAGCTTTGCCTAAGGCTGAGGGTAAGACTGTGGGTGTCATCTTTTGGACAAGAGTGTGTTTTGTTCTTGTATTCTTGTCAGACAGACAAAGTGCATCACTCAGTGGTCTCTGCTGTTCAGTTATCACTTCTCTGTTGCACTTGTCGTGGAGGTGAAACTCCTGTCTCCTCCAGAACTGGCTGCAGGAGAGGCCTTCTGGCTACAGACCCTGAGAAAGGCACAGGGTCTCTTCAAAGGAGACTTTACACCCAGCAGCTGAAGTTTCAGTTACGAAGGTCAGTTCAGAGGAGACTGAAAAGACAGAAGAAAGACAGGAAAAGAGGAGAGAAACAGGCACAATGATTTCTACATCCTTTGATGTCACCACAGAGGTGGCACAACTTTACCTATTCACACTGCATTTTTATAAAAACAAAATAAAAGCATGCTGGCTTCAGGAGACTGAGGAGATGCCAATTAAAGCAGCCACAAAGGCTTGAGTGGAGCACCAGGTGAGCAGCAGAATCCACAGCTGGGGATCCTGCCTGGACAGGTGGCAGTGTGAGAGTGGTTGTTAAATGGTTCCAACACAGGACACAGGGAAAGGAAAACTCATCTCTTGAAGGGTGGAAAAGAGCAAGGATGAGATGCTGACCTGCAACACAGAAACTTGAGTGGTTAGGAAAAATGGGTAGCTTAAAAAGAGTGTTAAAATGTGTGGAAGAAACCATGGCATAGGTGAGGGGGGAAACAGAAAGGAAAAAAGATTAATGTGTAAGACTAAAAATGATGGTTAGAAAAAGGAGGGAGCAAGACAGTGAGAATAAATAGGATTAGGGGAAACAGTGAAGCTTATACATGTATTTGATGCTACTGCTTCTCTCTGGCTTTAGAGCTGTCCCAGGTGGAATAAAAAATTAATCAGGCAGGTTAGTGGGGAAGTGGACTGGATGTTCCCCAGAGGTGTCATACAACCCCAACCATTCTGTGATTCTGTGGAGATCAAAAGAAAAAGGAGCAGGGGATGGGGGGAGGATAACTTCCTTATCTGAATAAAATTTGAGATTATAATTAAGCTTCTAGCAGTAATCAGCACCATCACCAGCCTGACCTGTTTGAGGGGAAGCACCAGGATTCCCAGTTCACATGGGTACTGCACCAGAGCAAATCACACCTGAACATCCTAAAGATCCTCTGTGTGGAAATGTTATTTTCAAAAATGGCTTGAGATATGCAGAAATAAAGTGCATTTCTGGGGAACTGCCAAGCTACTGAATAATGTGACATTTGTAACAGTAATGAGGACCCCACTTTGCTTCTGAACAAAAGACACTGTTCAAAATGTGTATCCATGAATATTATTTCCATACATTTATGCAGCACCCAACCCCATCCCATATTAGCACTGTGTCAGAGGAAAAATTAAACATTCAAGAGGAGAAATGCAAAGCTAAAGATGAAACACAGATTTAAACCATGATAGATTTAACTTGGACTCATCTTCAATTATTTGGCACTGTATTTCTCTAATTGTATACAGGCTGCATTTACTCTGGGGCCTGTGTTGTCTTCAAGGGTTTCTTCTGGCAAAGCTGAGACAACTGGAGAGAAACTACTGCTGCCTCTTGTCTGCCAGGAAACTGTGTCCTGAGCACGTGGGCTTGGCCTGCAAGGAGCACAAGGAAAGCTCTTGGCAGATGAGATTTTAGAGCTGCTTTCAGCCAGCCAAGCCCTTGGGAAGCCCCAAGTGGGCTGACAAAGGATAAATCCCTGTTTTGTCAAGACAGAGCAGTTTTTATTACTCCAAGGAGGCACTGTCAGTACTCCTCTATGATAACAAAAGGGTGAGTCTGATCCCATGACCAGAACAGTATTCCTCCAATATGTCATCATTCTGAGATGTTAAAAAGCCAGGCTGTCTGAAAACCATCATTCAGTGCCTGTAAGCTTGTAAAGGAAATTCCAGTGTGTGTTACAGTATGTAAAAAATACATGCCAAAGGAGTCAGGTTAGCTGGGCTCTGGCATCTTGTAAATGTGTGGGTTTGTAAACTACAGATGCTGATGTGTGATTGTGTGATGGTGTGACTGACGGGGTACCTGGAGGAGGGATGGCATAGCTGGCATTTTTTGGTGGAGCTGATAAAGCCCATGGCCTGCTACTACCCAACCTGAGGCTTTCCCCAGCACAGAAGTCATCCTGACCTACTGAGTGAATGCTTTTCCTCTCAAAGCCAGCCTTGCATCTGGCTGTTCCCTGTCTCTCTGCCACAGGGCAGTGGCCACAGCCTCACAGACTCTCAGAGCTGGTCCCCCACCAGCTGGTCACAGACAATTCTGCCTCCTTCTGCCCGTTCCTTATCTCTCTTTGGCAGGAATACCCTTGTTTCCTTCCCTGAGCTAGCAGAGTGCATAGCCAGAGACACCCTGCACATCTGAACAGTGCTCCATGGACCTGACTGCTGGTTTGGGCTGTCCTGATATTTGACTATCTGCTGCCAAAACTCCAGCTAAAAGCCCAGCAAACTTAGTATCTGAATTTATCATTATTTCTAGCAAAAATGATGTTGAACATCTAATTTCAATCAATGAGCTTCCTATTCAGATCGTAATTTTGGTGTGAAATACCCCCTCCCCACGGGGTGAGTGATCGCCTTCCCTATCACGCACGTACTGCTTTAGCTGTCAGGTTTTCAGCCTTTACATGTAAAATTCCAGAAAGTCTCTCACCACAGTCACTGCCCTGGCCCTGCTGATCCAGCCAGATGTCCCTGGCCCTGTGGCCAGCTGGGCTGGTGCCCAGCCGCTGTCTCAGCAGCCTTTCCCTCTGGGCAGCTCCACAGCGGCCAGCGAGCGCATCCCTCCGAGGGTCAGGGACCAGCAGGGCTCCGAGGGCTCGGGACAGCAGCTGAGAGGCACAGCCTCATGCCACACATCAGAAATTCCTCACTAAAGTCTTTCCTGACACACTCAGGCCAGGCTGCCCCCTAACCTGGCACCAGCCGATAATGCAAACCGCAGCCGTAGTGGTTACTGGAATCACACTGCAAACAGCTTAAAATGAAATCAAAGCGCTTTTTTACCGAAAAGGAGTCGGCGATAGCGAAACACACTGGAAGGCTAACGAGACAAGTTCTGCTCTCTAAGGTGCTGTGCCTGAATTACGCTAAATCCATTACGCTCTCAGTTCCCCCACTCCGGTACGGCTATTTCCCCGTTTTCCCCTCGGTTGTTGTCTCCTGTCTCCCCTCGGTTGTTTTCCCTCAGTTTTCCCCTCGGCTGTTTTTCCCCAGTTTTCCCCTCGGCTGTTTTTCCCCAGTTTTCCCCTCGGTTGTTGCCCCCCGTCTCCCCTCGGTTGTTTTCCCCGCTTTCCCCTCAGCGGCTGCTGCCTCTCCCCTCAGGCGCACAGCGGAGCGGCCCGGGGCAGGTCGGTCCGGCGGAGCCCGCTCGGGTCGCGGCTGTCCCGGGGGAGGCTCCCGCAGCCCCCCGGCCCCGGTGTGCCGTCCTTACCGACTCTGCGAGCAGCAGCTGCCCCTTGCGGGAGCGCAGGAACTCCCGGGGGGGGAGCAGCGAGCTGAGCCCGGGCGGCGGCGCGGCCCCCACGGACTCGGGGTCCTCCATGGCTGCGGCGGGCGGGGTGGGCTGGGGATGGGGCTGGGCTCGGGCTGAGCTGGGCTGGGCTCGAGTCGGGCTCGGGCTGGGCGCGGGCTCAGGCTCGGGCTGGGGGGTTGGCCGGGGATTTTTTTTAATTTTTTTCTCTGAAGGAGGGAAGCGGAAATCGTGACACTGCGGAAACGTGAAAAAAAAAAGTTTCAGCATCCCCCAGCTGTGGGGGGCGGCCCCAGCGCCCGCCCCCAGCCCCGGGACAGGGACAATGGAGCCGGGCTGCCACCTTCGCCCTGCCCTGTGCTGCTGGGCCGACACCGGCGAGCCGGGGGGATTCTCCTCCCTGCCACTCTGAACACAACACTGAGCCACCGGGAGCTCGGGGCTGGAGGTCACCCAGGCCAAACCCCGCTCAAAGGGTTTCAATCCTGAAAATTTCAGGATGCAAAAACTTGTAATTCACACGGCACAAGAAAATCTTTCCGAAGGATGGGTCATTACATTTTTACTTTAAAGTTACATTTACTCCAATGTACTCTTTTACACTTAGTAAATAAATAAGATTAAATAATGCACTTAAGCCTGTTTGTTTTTTCTTTTTATTAGAGAAAGAAGACAACCATGAAAATAATTTTCATACAGATAAAAATGTAATTAACTTTAGAAAAACATGAGAATTTTCTCTGAAGCTTTAACTGGTGAAATTGCAACGCTGAAACTGCATTTGGAAAAGTATGAAACCTTATGAAGGATACCTGCAGAAACAGCAGGAAATTCAAAAATGTGCATGTGAAAATACAAATTCTTTAAAAGAGAGTGGGGAAACAGAATGGAGAACTCATTCTTTCACTAACACATCAATCCTATTTGGCAGGAGCACTCCTTCCTCTTGATTTATCACGGCTAATCTTCTTGAAAAGAAGAATCGCATCGGCAAGGCAGAGAACAAGCAATATAAGACCCAATACCTATAAAAATTACCATAAAATTAGTTCCCCCAATCAACCTTGTGCTTTTACTGTAGTGACTCATCAAGGCAGCAGTAAACACATCTTCCTAACTTGGCTCTGCCCTTGAAAGCGTGTGTGATTTGAAACGGCTGATAAACACCCACTTTTACATCCCATCAGCTGTCTACAGCCTGCTCTTTATGATGTTTGTGTCAGGCCTTGGAGATACTGTGGTGCTCCCCTTGAATGCCACATAATGCTTTTACCCTAAATGAAAGCCCTTCTGTCTCTTTAAGGGTTGCTTAATGAGTGGGACCGGCCCTGAGAAAAGTTAAGGGGAAAAGTCAGTATTCATACAAACAAGCCCAGCAGGAAAATGCATTTCTCTGAAGCTCTGAATGGGAAACATATCCAAATTGAAGAAAATGTACTCAATTATTTTAAAAATAGACAACCTCAGGCAGGAACTGGAAAAATGTGTTTGCAGAAGAGTCACTGAGTTAACTGACTCAGCTCCTGCCCTTCATCCCCATCCCACGTGCACACAGGGATTTTTTTATACGAGCACTGAATCATCTGATCAGGGGAGCTCTTTTCAGGAGAGCTCTTGGGAGACCACAGCTCAAGGCAGTTTGTGCCTCAGGAGAACAAACTGGGGGTGATTCTGTCCCTCCCAGCACTGAAGATGTCACATATTCCACCCAAACTTGTGCTCCCAGATACCTGCTCAGTCTCCTGCTCCCACCTTTAATTTCTGTAAACTTCATAACTGAGAATATAAATTCTATTCCAGCACAGTCACTCTATCAGAAAGTCTCCTTTTTGCTTAGGATGCCATTGCCAGTGAAGCCATCAGCTTTCACCCTCACCATCTCCTAAATTGAGTCTGAAAGACCCCTCTGGCAGGTTTTAGGTTTCTTTTGGTTGCTTGTCACATTTCAGCTTATCTTGTACTTCTAGAGATTTTCAAAACTGAGGGGTTTTCTTCCCCTCCTTACTGTTTATTAAGGTTAATTACATTAGTTGCCATTTGAATTGAAAGTACCAGTTACTCAAACTGGTTTAATCTTAAGAACATGAAATTCTTACATAGTATGAACAAAACCCCTTTTCAACTGACATAGTTTCTCCGTTTGTGTCAGACAAAACAATATATGCACCAGAAGGGAGTGTGTCTGTTAAAAAATTTCAACTCCTTTTAGCAGGACTGTTGGCATCTTTTCTCAAGTAGTACAACCAAACTGGATAGTCCTAAAAGAGGGATTTTCCTGCCTAGGATTTGAAGCTATGGTAGCAAATGTAGGTTACTTGAAAACTCTAGAAATTTTAAGTGTTTCAGTATTTCTCTGCAGTCATCCCTAAATCTTAGGAAGGCAAATCTTAGGATTGTGAGGATTATTTTCTTTTAGTGAGATCCACTGAATGTACCTTGTTTGCTACTGCTGAGAGTGTTCTTCCAAGACAGTTGTTTGCATGTTCCTACCATAGTGTGAGTGTACCAAGAGGGTCAAATCACTGCACTTTAAGAACTGAAATTCATTAACAATGTTCCTACTTACTCCTCCAGCCAATGTCCCCTTGTTGGTCTTGATTATTATTGCAAACAAGCTCACAACGAGGAGGAACAATGCTGCAATCATCGAGTTGAAAATATCCTGAAACAGCCAGTGGAAGCAAAATATTTATTCTGAAATACAGGCCTGAAGGAGAACATGCAGAGCTCCCAATAGAGAAGGGATGGTTAAAAACGGTTGGATTGCCATGAACACAGTTACAGAAATTTCCGTGTGAGAGGACACTGACACCCAGTGGTTTGAGGGTAAAAGGAGCGTTTATAGTAAAATTTCCTCGTTTTACCTTCCTTCTGTTGTTTTTGCATCAAATTTTTGCAACTTGGCTACACCTGATAGACTGAAGCAGCAAATACACGTACAAAAGTGAGGTAAGATGAGCACTTGTTAATATTTGAGTGAAAGCGTGTGACTAATTTGTGATGTGAAGGTATTTACACAGCGAGGCAAACGGCGCCCATGCCGGGAGGGGCTGTGATCGGATCCAAGAACTGATGGAACAGAACGCTCCGCTAGGAAAAACTGCCTCAACCTCCACAGAACACTGGGGCTTGCCTTACCTGTGCAGAAACAATCACTGAGCCGGCTGGCAGTCCCCTGGGCCAGGCGATCCCTCCTGTTCACGGGCCTGCTGGCGCTCACACCAGCGGCCGCAACAGCGCGGGGACATTGGTGCCCTGAGCCAGGGAACACTGGTACCCACAGCCAGGGGCCACTGCTGCTCAGGGCCAGCAGCACTCACAGCCAGAGCAGCCGCTACTCGGAGCCCACGGGTACTCACAGCCAGCGGCCAGAAGAGGCACCGCATCCGCGTGTCGAGCCTCAGCAGGTAGAGCAGCAGGAACAGGACGGTGATCGCCGTCTCCATGCTGGCCAGCGCCGTGTAGGCCTGGTGCGATCCCGCGGCCACGAAGCAGACGAGGGCGGCCAGAGCCACCAGCTGCGGGACAGGAGGGGACGGGGGTCAGCGGCGGCCCGAGCCTTGCCCGTGGGCCCCGGGGCCGCCCCCGGCCGTACCGTGCGGGCGATCTTCAGCGCGCCCCGCGCCGAGCGGGGGAAGGCCCGGTCCACCTCCAGACGCGGCATGGCGACCCGGCGGTGCGCGGCGGGACCGGCACCCCGGGACGACGCCGGGAACCGGGGAGATGCCGGGGCTGATGCCGCAGGTGACCCCGGGGCCATAGCCGGCTCTGAACCCGCCCTGCCTCAGAGCGCCGGGGCGGAGGAAGTGATGGCGCGGCGGCGGAAGGGCTGGGGCGGGCCGGAGCCGGGTCCGGTGCGGGTCCGGGCGGCAGCGGGGATGGGCCATGTGGCGGCGGGGCGCGGCCTGGGCGCGGGGCCGGCGGGGCGCGGGCACTGCTGTCCCCGGGCCCTCAGCGGGCGGGCCCCGCGCCGCTGCCGGCCGTAAGTGCGGGGGGAACCGCGGGCACGGGCCGGGACCGGCGGCCGCCCCTGGGGCGCCCCTTCGGCTCGGTGTGGGCCCTCGGGATGCGCTGGAGCCGCTCCGGGGGAGCGGGGTCAGACCCAGGAGCGGTTTTAGGGGAGCGGGAGCAGGGTCAGACCCAGGAGCAGTTTTGGGGAGCGGGAGCGGGGTCAGACCCTGGAGCGGTTTTGGGGGAGCAGGAGCGGGGTCAGACCCTGGAGCTCTGACCGGGGGTGACCGCCGAGTCCGTCCCTGCCTTCCTGCCATGCTTGGCTGGGTGAAGGCTCTCGTAAGCTCAGCTTGGCTTGGACGGGTTTTTTACCGCAGTTTTGAGGTGTAAGGTGCTTATTTTGGAGCTGCTTTGTAATCCTCACCCTTATCCCACCGGGCTGCTCCAGCTGGTCTTTCCAAAAATTTCCTGTGCAAACCCACTGAGGAGCAGCAGATACAGCAAACGTCTGGGCAAAGTGTGAGCACTCACTGTAGGCTCTTGGCAGTGTAAAGGACAGTGGAAAACTTCAGCTAAATCTGTGTTAGTCGGTGCCACAATGTGTCTGTTACATGACCCAATAATTACGTAAAACCTTGAAGCTTGACAATTTAGAAAATAGTGATATTAAGCCATAGGGAACCTAGAAATGTCCTGCAAGGCCTCACATTAAGAGGCTCAGTATAACCAAGTTACGCAGACCGCTTTGGGTTTAACTGTTGTTTGTTTCCATTCTAGATAAGCATTTGATAAAAAAAGATGCTAGAAAGAGAATTGTAAGTATTTGCATTTTGTTCAGGAAACTAAGTATAAAGCGCAGCCTTTTTCATCATAAATCTATTATAATTTGAATGTATTTTAGTGGCAGCTGTAGGCCATAGCTGTGTTACTGTGTGGTGGTGGGTCTGTCACTGGGTTGTACTCTGTGCAAGGCCGGTCTAGTTCTGAAAATTGTATTAAAATTGTGAGAGATCTGTGCAAAAATTATGAGGAATAAAACTGTGAGGGCTTGTGTCAGGACAGATTTCAGTTTGGGTTCAGTATTGCATGTGTAGCCTTGCCATTGCTTTATATAACCCGCCCTGGGCTATAAATTCTTTTAAGACAGTCGAAAAAAATTCTCTTAATTTATTTTAGTTGTTTAGGTTTCTGAATATAAAACTGTGATCCCTCTTAAGGTTTAAGATATCTATATAATGGATGCTGAAATTATTACTTCAGCTGGCAATTTATTTTAAGTTGGGATCAGGTTTCTGAGGTGGGTTGTGGCAGAGTGAGGGGCAGCAGGTGACCCTCTGGAACCCCTGGGATCCTGGGAAGGGGGAGGAAGATGGAAGCAGGGCAGGGGCTGGCTGTGGGGGTAGCAGGGAGATCTGGGAGAGTCACAGCATCCAAATGGATCCCCAGTGCCTTCCCATGAAATAACCTCTTCCCAATGTAGGGAGCTGGCATGTTGGAATGGGCAAGGTGCATTTCTAACACACTGCTCACTGTTGTGCCACAGTGTGGTTCTCAAAGTGACTCTGTTTTTCACCAGATCTGTATCGAGGGCAACATAGCGAGTGGAAAAACAACATGCCTGGATTATTTTGCACAAACTGCTAGCATTGAGGTACTGGATGCACATTTCTTTTTCCTTACTTCTGTCACTGAACAGCTGTGTTAGGTCTTGTCTGAGATCCAACGTGTCCTTGGGTATGTGAGGAGGGAGCAGCAGGGGCTGAGCTGGAGGCTTGCTGGGGCACCACCCCAACTGTTTACAGTCAAATTGCTGCAGAGAAATGTAGATCGCATGTGGAATGTACTGGATGCCAAAATACCAGTAAAACCTGTGAATCTGAGTTTGAACCTTTGTAAAATAACAGCAACCCACAGAGCATGGGCATGTTTGGACTTGCCTGTTTGCCATTTCACGTCACTGAAATCTTAGATGGGTCTGGTAAAAGCAAAGTAAATAATTATTATGTAAAAATACCTATGCCATGTAACAGAGATCCCAGTGAATAGATGGCTTTTTTTAAAAAAGGAAAATCTGTTAGAACTGTTTCAGGAGATTTCTTAGACTGATCTGGTATTTGATTTTGTCTTGTTTAGAACCAGGTTAGGGGAAGGGCAGGCTTGGTGTATTTTAAACTAATTCCAGGCCAAACCTCAGTGAGCAGTTGTTTTTGTAGAACAGATATTAATGCTTTCCCCAGCAGACCTGGCAACACATTTGGTAGTAAGTTTTAGGAATCCTTACAGAAATTCTGTGTTGCCAGATGTTATTTGGTAATTTAACAGGAATTGTCCTTGTGAAGTAATTAACTGTTAATCCAAAGGATAACAGACTTTAATTTGCATACAGTGCAGCATTTTTAAGTAGCTACTTAAGTTCCCAGGCTGATGAGATTCTCCTGGGCCTGACTCTACAGTACTATTGCAGATTTAGACCCTGTTTGAACCAGGTAGGTCTTTTGTGATTTTACCTATTCAGGGTAGAAGCTTTTCTGATTCATTTTGTAAAAGATTTGAATACGTTTTGTTTGTTAGAACACTAAAATAAAAGGAAAAAAATGTGGTAGCAGTCTGATCCTCTTCCTTTGCTGGCAAGTGTTATTTTCTGAGAAATTAATTTGTGAGGGGATGGGCTTGTCATTGAAATGCTAAGTACTCTGCTAAGCTGTTCTTTCCCTTACATGGCACTTATTTTCATTTAAAAAAATTCTCCCCACGCTTATGAGGTAAGCAGTGTTTAAAAATGCTAAGAAAACGTTGGATATTCACACTTCTCTGTTCTTTAGCAGTGTTCATTATTACCTTTTGTGTTACAGAATTCAGTGGTTTTTTTTTAAGTGTGATGAGTTTTCCAATACAACTCCTAAATACTCTGATTTACTGCACAAACATTCCTTAAAAATAGTTGTGCACTTGTAGGGTCACATTACGTATTTTGAATCTAAGATGTGTTTAACATGGAGTAATTATTTTAAACCAGGTTTTGAAGGAACCCTTGAACAAGTGGAGGAATGTTCGAGGTCATAATATCCTGGTGAGTGGCAGAAATTATTTCTGCAGTTACAGTGACTTCTTTTAGCAAGACATGTCTGGTGGCTTTTTACCAGCCAGTACAACTGCTACAAAAGGTGTGATCCAAATCTCACAAAGCAAAAACTAAAGCTTCACGAAGCAAAAGAGCTTCTACTGCAATTAAGACGTGCATGTAATAGAAACATTGCTTGTAAAATGTGGTTTTGGCAAGGACTGGGTGTCCAGTGGGGTGTGAGTTAAAGCAATTCCCAGGAAGGTAAGCCCTGAGTGTGGCAGTTGTTTCTGAATGTGCTTGTGCCTGTTTCAAAGATGAGAAGGATGTCACCCTTGGTGATGGGTGGATCTGGTCAGTTAATGTTTGGAGTTCTGTGAACAGTTCTGGTGCCTCCAAAATAAAAAGGACATGGAACTGTTGGAGCAGCTCCAGAAGAGGCCACAGAGCTCCCTTGTGGAGCCAGGCTGGGAGAGCTGGGGCTGCTCAGCCTGGAGAGGAGAAGGTTGTGTGGAGACCCCAGAGCTCCTCCCAGGGTCTGAGGGGCTGCAGGGACCCCAGAGAGAGATAATTCCTCAGGAACTGCAGTGACAGGACACAGGGAATGAGTGAAAATTGAAAGAGGGGGAAATTCAAGGTTAGATATTGGGAAAGATTCTTTACTGGGTGGGTGGGCAGGCCCTGGCACAGGGTGCCCAGAGCAGCTGGGGCTGCCCCTGGATCCCTGGCAGTGCCCAAGGCCAGGTTGGACATTGGGGCTGGGAGCTCCTGGGACACTGGGAGCTGGCCCTGCCCATGTCAGGGGTGGCACTGGATGATCTTTAAGGTCCATTCCAACCCCTTTACCGGTGTGAGTCTGTGATCCTGTGGCTGCTGCAGATAAGGAATATTCAGCCCAGCGACGTGTTGTGGGCTTCTGTTGTCTTTTGGGTGACCGAGGCTTCTTGGAACTGTTCCCCCCAGGATGTCCTTGGGTCCCAGCTGCACACTGGCCTTGCTGGGATGCTGGAAGCAGTCCCTGCTGTCAGTCCTGTGCTTGGGGCTCATGTCCTGTGCAGAAACCCCACGGTGGCCAGGGCAGGATCTGTGCTCAGGCTCTGCGGACACACCCCAAACCATACTTGTCCCAGCATGTGTGAAATACCATCGGTGTTAGCACAGGCCCTCTGGAACTGCAGAGTGTCCTTCCTAGGAGTTGCTGATGCCTTTCTGATTGTTAGTGAAAGGGTGGGGCATGTGTTGCAGCATGGACAGCAGCCTTAGAGCACTGGGAAAGTCTGATTTCGGCAGGGAGAAAAGGAGAAGGTCAGACCTGTGGGCTGAATCTATGCTGCTGGCTTAAAACCTGTCACCTCAGCCAACAGACACTGAATGGTATTTTATTTTGATTTATATATCCTCTGCTGTGCAGGATAGATTGTTGCTTGTGAGTTCTATGTGTTTGTGGAATTGCAGCAATCAGAAAGTGAAACGGCTACTAGAGGGCTGCTGTGAGGATCCTTTGGGAAGGACAGCTGCCTGTGGTAAAGGACACATTTTCTGAGGCCCAGACCATACTTAGAACCCTGTTTGATTTCTGGATGCACTGGGTGTACTGAGAGTCTGTCAGTGCACAGCAATAGAGTAGTAGGTAGGTTTTTTTTCATTACTTGGTTCTGACTGTTCCATGTGCAGAATAAACCTGTTCCTGCTGACTTCAGCCAACCTCCCACTCAGTGTCTGCAGGGACAGGGCCATTGTTCTACATCTCCATTGTGGAGAGCAAACGATCACTTAATTCTTGTCAAACCTCATCAGGTTTTCCACTGTTTAGTGCACTTCTTAGAGCAAAGCTGTTGAAAAGCAAAATCTTCCTAAATACCCAACTTCCTGTTGTGCTGTTTGTCCTAACAAATGTCCATCTGTCCTGCTTCCATCTCTGACCCCAAGGGCTTAATGTATCAGGATGCATCAAGGTGGGGGATAACTCTGCAGACCTATGTC